TTTTTCCAGAGGTAAGTTTTAGGATTATTTTTCCTTTACCAAGCACCATAGCAGTGGATGAATTCCCCATGAAGACATGTTCACCATCTACTGCATCACAAAATTCCTGGAAAAGAGCCTTGTTGGAGCAAAAATGTCTGGTGGCACCAGTGTCTAACAGCCAGTCGACCTTGTTTTCCAACAGGTTTGCTTCTACCACCACAGTAGCAATTATATCTTCCTTTTCAGCAACATTGACTTGTGGAGCATAGTTATTGGGCTTATTGGTAAGTTTCTTATCCTTCCTATTCCAGCACTGGTATACCTTGTGGCCTGGTTTTCCACATTCAAAACAGGTTATCACTTTGCCTTTGTGATTCTTTCTGTTATCACCTTTGGGATATTTTTGGTATCCGCTATTTTTGAATTTCTTTTCTTTGGCTTTGTACCTGTCTTTATAGGCAACAAAAGATTCAACCAAGTTAGCTTTAACAAAAATAGAAGAAAAAGAATTTTCCTTATCTTTCAGACGATTAGCCTCCTCAGTTTTCATGTGACTTATCAACTCCTGTAAAGGCAAGTCCTTCTTTTTGTGTTTCAGATGGTTCCTCTAATCACTCCATGAAGGTGGAAATTTTTCCAGCAAAACATTAGCCTGCTGAACATCACACATTTTCATGCCTTCTCTTAGCACATCTACAACCAAGTTCTCATACTCGTGAATCTTCTCCATGATAGGCTTGTCATCTACCATCTGGAACTCCATCCATTTTCCCACCACGTATTTTTTCCTGTCATCATCATCAGCACCGTACCTTGATTCCAAGTTATCCCATATTTCCTTTGCATATTTCTGTTCAACAAAAATATCAAAAAGAACATTTGTCATGTGATTGAGAAGATGACCTCCGACAACTTTATTATCCTTCACGTATTTTGCCTTTGATTCCTTATCATCTTTTTTCGTTTTTTCCGTTGAAGTAGCAGGAACAACAAGTTGATCATCGGGAACAGGTCGACCTCAAGCTGTTCGAAGAAGATTAAAAGTTTCTGGGAACAACGTTTGTAGTTGAGTCCATCTAAAGGTTCAAGCTTGGAGAGATCGGACAGTGACTTGAGAACGGAAGCAGAAGCAACAACCATCGTTGACGAACTTTGAAAATGAATAGGGTTTCGCTTTTAGATTGTTAGTAAAACAGAGAAATCAATACAACTGTGTCGTGGAAGAACCACTACCCTGAAAGCAAAATTCCGGCACGACCAAAGTGCAACTGATTGATGCCGTTCGCTCCCCAAGGTTAACACAACACCTCACTACCCTCGTGCGCTCATGGGAGGAGTTGGAATTGCAGACTCTCTGTCCGTAAAAAATAAAGATGATAATAAAAAGTTTCTTACTTCTCTCCGTGAAAAAACCCAATCCTATTTTTTTATATATCCTTTTATAAAATATATTTTCATATATATATAATATATATATATATATATATATATATATATAACTACTTTTTCTGTTTCTTATCTTTTAGGCATGATAATATATTTATAAAACCATTTTCGAAACTAACAAAGAAATATTTCAACAATGAAAACTGACCACTAAAAAAGTGTTTCCTTCAATTTCGAAAGATTTGCTTGAGAATAACTAATATAGTCATATTTCCAACAACACCTACGTATAAATTAAACTTCTGAGTAAAGTCTTAAAAATATAAATAACATTTTAGTAAAAAATAATTCAATATAAATAATGAGAGACAAGAAGAATGGGCTTTAACTCATACATATAACACAAAAAAAAAAAAAATACAATACAACTCTTACACGAGTAAGACCAAAATACCACTTAACTAGTCAATAAACAAAAAAGTGCAGCAAGAAGGTTCTAATCCCTGGTTAACAATGTGTATAATTTTTATTTATTTTTCTGTTTGTTGCCATGTCATGCGAGTAGCCAAGTCATAAAGGACACAACTAATTGATGGTTTTAATGTGTAGTGGTTGTATGACGGTAGATTTGGTTCAAGCAAAGGTATGTGCTGAGGAAAGATAAGACAACCATGAGAGAATAGTTTGATACATAATTGGATTTTAGATATAGTTAACGAAAGAGTAATGAAAATATAGAAGAAACGCAAAGATAAAGGAAATTCTCACGATAGAGGTGACAACTGTGATCTTCAACTCCTATTTGTGTCAAAAAGTTGTATTCAGAAAAGGTTTTAATTCTGCCATTCTTATTCTTCAACTCCTAGATTTTAAGTTTCATTTGAAAATATTGATTGTTATTACGGGTGATTTTAGTTAAGCAAAAACTAAAAAAAATTACGCACATACCATATTCTTTAATTAATGTTAATGCTGTTGTTGTGGAAGGATAATGGTACAGGATGAAATAAAATTAAAGTAAAATGAAATGAACCATTATTACCAAATTTACAAACTTGTTTTAAACGTTTGATATTGCTTTTTTTTTTTTTCTTTGTTGTCCCTCTATCTACTCTTATTTTGTGATTATAAGGTAAAATTTTGAATCTTTCTTTTCTCCGATTATTTTAATTAACTTGGTGCTTAGTTATTGACAGCCTTTCTTGTTGGTGTGACTTGTGTTGTAGCCCAAACCTAATTGTGACTAACATACATCAGGTGTGATGGAGACACAAAATGGATATGAGTTTGTCCGTGGTAGACAAAGATTAATTTTTTTCTAAATTAATATTTTTTAATTAATAACCGTTGTATTGAGTTTTTGTCCACAAATAAATTATTATATTTTAAATTTTAAATTTAAATAAAAGAGATAAAATGAGATGTTCACAATCGTTGTGTTTGCTTTTACGTATATAGTGTACATGCAGAAGAATAAATTTGACTAGAATTGTTTAAGTTAATTCGAAGACAAAGAGAAGAAAGAACTTGATACACACGTTGAAAGCGAGCATAACAATGTTCAAATTTGTCATATGACCCTAATCTATAAAAGTGTGATATTTATACCAATTTTTATTTGTTGAACCCATTTCATTTGATTGTAGGTAGAGTGTAAGAAGAACCAACTACAAACAACATACATTGTTGCCTTAATTTTCATCATTTGTCACCTTTCTGCAAAGCATATACTACATTAAATAATAGAGAGAGAGAGAAAGCTTTTCACAAGTATATGTGGATAATATTGGATATAAAACAAATCATAAATATAATTCAAGCAAGTATCCACTTGGTAATTTAAATAATTTAAAAATAATAGTTATTAAATTTGCAAAAATATTAAAATTTTCGTCCATATTTAAGTCTTATTTAATAAATTTTTATTTTCAATTAAGGACATTTTTATCATTCTTTAAATAAAGTAATACCAACAATCCATTTTCAAATTGCACTCTAACTTTATAGTATTTTATTAATAACTCGTCATTTTTAATGAACTCATTTTCTTAACTCTTAGATTAGGGTGAAGTTCCTCAATTATTTTTCATTAAATAAAAAAATATTATTATCAATAAGATATCATATTATAATCACACAATTAAAAGATTTTTTTAACTCAAACATTTATCATAAAGTATTTTTTTTACTTAGTATTATTAAATAAAGAGATATTATTATAAACAACACATCGTTTTTTTTTATAATCAAACAATTAGGAGAATTTTTTTTAACTTAAACATTTGTTGTAAAGTATTCTTATTGTATTAAATACATCATAAATATAAGTTTTAAATATTTTCTTATGGTTCAAAATCATAATTCTTGAAAATTAAAAATATTATGTTTAATTTTTTCTTAAAATTTAATTATTTGCAAGGTTATATGATTTAATGAGAGTAATGTGATTTTATTTTTTATATATTTTTTAAACTTAAAGGAGATAATTTTTATTTTTAATAATATTTTTTAAGGAAAATATAAATTTTAAAACAATATTTTCAGGATGTTATTTTCTAAATATTATCTAAATATATTTTTTTTGCATTTTTTTCAGATTTTTGATAAATAACTTATATTTTGATATGATGTTAATTTAAATTCTAATAGATTTTCGAAAATATGAACTATTAATTTATAAATTAAGATGGAAAAAATAAATAGAAAGAAAAAAGTTAAAATTAAAAAATACTCTTATTGAACAAAAAATTCTAAAATTATTTTATTAAATAATATTTTAAATATACTATTTATATTCTAAATGTATATGAATTTATATTTAAAATTTGATAATTTGAATCTTAATATGATAAATTAAATATTGCTGAGAGTTGAGAACTTTCCTGTGAAAATATTTAACATCTACTTAAAATTTTATCAAAATTTAAATATTCAATCAAATATTTAAATAATAATCATAAATAAATTTTAATTATCATATTTTAAAATATTTCAATTATCACGTATTTTTTAAGATGAAATAAGGGTGATTTAAATATTATATATATATATATATATATATATATTTATATTAAAAAATACATAAATAATGTTAAAATATGATAAATTCATATAAAACCTTAATTACCCAATAAAATCTCTTACAGCTGTATAAAATAAATAAATTAAAGACCCCTTAATTATCATGTTCTAAATTATTTTAATTATCACGTATTTTATAAATTTTTATTAACTTACCGTGACCAATATAGATAAATTTATTATTTTTTTATACTGTTATGGGGTATTTATTGAGTTTAACTAGTTACCGTATAAAACTTCTTACAATTGGATAAAAATTAAACTCTTTTATGTTGTGTTATACTTTTAATTTAGAACCGTTTACCAAAAAGTGACAGAAACGCAACGGATAATGCAAATAAATGTCAAATTGAGTGATGAAGACGATGTCAAACTCAAAAAGCAGAACGAAAACCCACGTGTATTTTTTCACGCATGAGATCCCTCTGTATCTGTGTTCTCTGTCATCATCTGCTACTTAATTACCCTCTCTCTATTTGTCTCTCTCTGCCTCCGATCTATCTCCAACGACGCCGTCTCGATCTTCTTCCTCTGCATCGTAACTGAGCGCTATGGATGAGACTTCAGCTCTCATCGAAGCCATTCTCAGGGAGCAAGAGGAAGAAGAAGAAGCTCACAGAAGAAGAAACCTCACCACTCAAAACACCGCCGCCAAAAACAACACTAATGAATGGCAAACGGTGTCGTACCAGAAGCGCAACCGCAACAACAAGACGTCCTCCTCCAAGCAGCCTCTCGCCGACGACAATTTCTCCGCCGATCATTCCTCCGATGTCTTCAGCTCCGTCCAGCGGCATTCCGAGGAGCGCCGCCGCCGCCTCCTCAAGTCTCAGATATCAGCCGCAGCCGCCGCAGAGGATGCCGCTCCGAGCAGATCGAAGCGGCATTCCGACGACGAAGACGACGGCGATGTGGAACTGGAAGCCGGCGCCGTCCAGAACGGTTCTTCTGATGTGAAGAAGCCGAAGCTGAAGAAGCCGAAGAAGCCGAAGGTGACTGTGGCTGAAGCTGCTTCTAGAATCAGTGCCGATGAACTCGACTCATTTCTCGCTGAAATTACCGTGAGTATTTCGATTTCGCCATTGATCTGCTGTAATTGAGATTTATTTCTTGTTCATTGAATGTGATAGATAGATAAGATGAGTGGTGTTTGCGTAGGCTTCGTATGAATCGCAGCAAGATATTATGATGATGCGATTTGCTGATTACTTCGGTCGTGCGTTCTCGTCAGTGAGTGGAGCTCAATTCCCGTGGCTGAAGACGTTCAAAGAGTCTACTGTTGTGAAGATTGTTGATGTGAGTTGTTTCTGTTCCTTTTTATTTTTTTTAACTCGGATTAACAATTTGGAAATTAAGTTGTACGGTTTTGTGATGCACGTGATATATGATAGTATGGTATAGAATTTTGAATTGCATGAGTGAGCTCTGATCTGATCATGTTATTTTGAGTTGTTCGTAAAAAATGTCGCTGAATTATGTGTCTTCTGAAATTTCAGTAATGATCAGCCTGATGCGTCACTCTTTTATGGTCACTGTTGTTTTTGATGGTTTGGATGCTTGTGGTCCTTGCTCGGTGATTATTTTCTTATCATTTTTGCCTTCCTCAACAGATCCCTCTTTTGCATATATCTGAGGATATTTACAAAATATCAACTAATTGGATCAGCCATCGATCATATGAAGCCCTTGGTTCCTTTGTGATATGGTCGTTTGATAGCATTCTTGCAGACCTCACAAATCATCAGGGAACCGTTAAGGGATCTAAAAAGGTAGTCCACCAATCATCATCGAAATCTCAGGTATCCATTGAAATCAAACCATGACGTGACAATTTGTCGTGGTTCTCTAACGGTGTTATGCTTCTTAAAATTTAATGTGGATTTTTTAATAGTTCAGAAATAATCTTTGCATCTTTGTTGACTTGTGTCTCCATATGGGCAAGTATCTGTGCCTGTGAGAGATGGTATCTGCATAGCTGGCACTATCTATTGAGTTAAAGCTTGGTTGTATATTGTTGTTCTAAACCTTTTAGGATGTCATTGATAATGATGACTTTTTCTGAGTGTTGATTTTAATTTCTGCATTTTTTATTTTATTTACTGTGATCGATGACTGTAATTCAACTTTGAGTTTTTCTTAGCTTCGGTTCCAAGTTGTTCCCTAATTAATATGAAATATAGAAATATTCAAAATAAAATGAGCATTTCTCAAGTTGTCTTAAATTTGAATATTTTTCTTGTGGTTCCTTAGCTTTATGGCAATAGTGATTGACTAGCTTTTCAAACAATACAAATGTTGGTTATTATTTAACGTGTCCTTCGAGACTGAAATGCATTAAGATTTAAGGATGGCAAGGATGTACGGCAGAATATGAGATGAAGAAGTTTGGATGTGGGGTATACCTTCTCAGACTGTAATCTATTACAGTCTTATTCCCAGTTTTGAAAGGTTGTGCATCTGATTTTCTGTAAATGTAGGCATATATCCATATCAATAAGGAAATTTTGTGAAGGTAGCCCTTTCAATAAACTTCTTGTATTCTAGGATCAACTTGGCTCATCTCAGATTTATTTCAATGAAATTTTTATGAAGTTTTCTTTCTTCTACTTATTGATGATTGCAATGTGCCTTCCAAATTTTATTGAGTATTAATAAACTTGTTGAAATATCAGTGAAAATCTTATAATGTTAATTTAATTCTGTAACATGTTTACATATGAGCTATAACTATAATTCATTGAATATTTGGTGTGGATGTTGTATATCATTTGAACTACAGGTTGCCATATTTGTGGTTTTAGCAATGGTGCTTCGACGAAAACCTGATGTCATGATTAGTCTATTGCCAATGATGAAGGAGAATAAAAAATACCAAGGACAGGATAAACTCCCTTTAATTGTTTGGGTGATAACTCAGGTGACTGTTTTCAACATGATATAGTGCCCCGGCTCCAGACACTAAAAAAAATGTTATATGGATAATGGATTTGTAACTGGATTAGGATTTGTGTAGGCTTGTCAAGGAGATCTAGTTATGGGGTTGTACTTGTGGATATCTCTTCTCTTACCCATGCTGAGTGTGAAGTCTGGCTGCAATCCACAGTCAAGAGACTTGATATTACAGTTGGTTGAGAGGTTAGGAGGAACCTTTGTGTTTCAACACTAACTTACCCTGATTTATTTATTGTAACTGCAGAATTCTTAGCTGATCCTTCTTGCCTTAATGATTTATCTTCATTCTTTCTTTCTTTTTTGAAACAGAGTTTTCACATTTCCTAAAGCTCGTTCTATCTTACTAAATGGGACTGTCAGAAAGGGGGAGCGTGTTGTGCCCCCATGGGCACTTGATTCACTATTGAGAGTTACTTTCCCTCTTCCTTCAGCTAGGGTCAAGGTAGGTTTTTAAAAGAATCCTGTGTATTTTCTAATCCCTTGCATTGTAATAATTGGTTTAGCTGAGATACTCATCTGGTATTTTGTATTTGTTTAGGCCACTGAAAGATTGGAAGCTGTGTATTCAACATTAAAAGAAGTTGCCCTTGCTGGTTCCCCTGGAAGTAAAGCAATGAAACATCTTGCACAGCACATACTAAGTTTAGCAATTAAAGCTGCGGGAGAAGGTAATGTCTAGTTTATTAATTATTTAATGCTGTTTCATAAGACAACCATACCTCAAAGATAAAGTTATCCATAAACTTGAATATTTATCTATAATATAAATGTCTATTAATCCAATTCAACTCAACTCTTTTGTGAGTAAAAACATCCTATAAAAGAAACAAATAAAAATCCAAAAATATGTGCAAACTTAACATGGTTACAAAACTGGTCGTCTACTATCCAAACCCAAACTGAAGGAATAAAACTAAAAGAGATACATCTATCAATGACCTATCTCACACACTTACTTCAATATACTAAGTTTTAATATAATCAATTAAACCTATTAGACTCATCAAAACCACGATTTTTGTTTAAATAATAGTTTATTGCATAAAGTCTTCTAAAAAACCCAGCCTTGAAGCTGTAGTAATCAATTGTTTCTTGAAATGATAAATCATCATAGTTAGCTCACTAAGAACAACTTTTTGAAATTTGTTATTTGCAGAAATAATTTGTTATTCCAGAACCTCTGAAATATCCTATAATTGATTGTATCAAAGTAAAGAAAATCCCTATTTCAGACCAAACACTGTCCTTATGTAATTTACTTGTTATTTGCTTGGTGAGCTGTCTCTCAAATATTTAACTATTCATTACTAAAAGTTGAAAGAGTTGGTGTTGTATTTTAGTTTGAAAACTTAAAAACTTGAATCTTTTACAGCCAATCCTGACCTATCAAGGGAGGCAAGTGACATTTTTATTTGGTGTTTGACTCAGAACCCTGAGTGTTACAAGCAATGGGTGAGTACAAGGGAATGCTATTTAACAATTTATTTCATTTGTTTCCTACACTTTTTCCCTTGTCACTCCTTTCCCACTTACTAACACAAACATGTGTTTATACTGGGAAACAGGATTTGCTTTATCTGGATAACCTTGAAGCAAGTATTGTTGTTTTGAGAAGACTTTCTGGTGAATGGAAGGAGTACTTTGTCAAACATACTACTCTTGATCCTTTGAGAGAAACTCTTAAGAGCTTTTGTCAAAAGGTAAACTATTTTCATTTTTTGTAAATACACTTGAACAATGGTTTGAGAAACTCAACCTTTCTAACTGTACTGCTGCATTTTATGTAAACTTGAATGAGCACCATCAGTATGCACATTGAAGCTTCGAGCTATTTACAATTTGTTCTTGTATGGTCAAGGGTGCTTTTGGATAAACAACTTACTTGATTACTTATTAAATAAGAGTTTATCACCAAGAGAGTCACAAGTGCTTGATAAGATGTTTGATATGTTTATATTATGACAATGGCTAATATTTTATAACTCTCCGATTAAAAGAAGCTAAAACAAGATTTCACAAGAGGGTCATTAGCCACTTTCATATGCTTAACCAAACACCTTAAAAATTTTCCAGAGAAGTACTTGTATAATAAGCCTCTGTTAAAGTTTTTCCAAAGGCTCCCAAGATGGGTTAATTGAATTGGCAACAACAGTATAATTAGGCTATTTAATCTCTTGCAGCGTATCTTAATGTTTCTTTGACATGTGTTCAAAATCCTTAGGCTGGAGTAGTGAGAGTAGAATCTAAATAATGAAGTTATCTTATTGTTCCTGCCGTATCATTGTAGAGAATGCACCTGTTCTTGATCCTAATTTAACTATGTCTGTAAAACTTATGCCATCTCACTCAATCTGTCTTTGTAGAATGAAAAGGCGTTGGCTAAGGTGGATGATGGTTCTCGCCATGCATTATTAAAGGATGCAGACAAGTACTGTAAGGTCATTTTGGGACGATTGTCCCAAGGCCATGGATGCATGAAGAGCATGGCAGTTTTTTCTGTTGTACTTGCTGTTGGTGCCGTTTACATGTCCCAGAACATGCATCTATGGGATTATAATAAATTGACAGGAACGTTGAACCTCTCTTAGATTTCCAAAGTTATCCTGTGGCTTACTCGGTGCTGATGCCCAGCGTGAATCACTTCAGCCAATAGTGAGGTGTGAGGAATATTTAATTTATTTTAGTCTTCAACTTAGTGAAATAGGAACCAAAGCCATGGAAGCTTGTGCCCCATTTATATAGGTGGTGATGTGATGTGTGTACTCAAATTTTAGGTAAATTTGAAAATTTTTTATTAAGAATTTTTATAGTGGTTTGTTATATATTGATTTTCAGATAAAGTGCCAAATGGCTATAGAGAAATGCAAATGAAGGTGAAATTAAGTTGTGCTTGAATGCGAATTTTGAAATATTTAAATTTTATTTATTCTGACTTTCGTTTGTTATGTTTCTTACTGTCATTTACTATCTTTGGACTTAGATTAGTGTTTGGACCAGCTTTGAAAACAAAAGGGGTTCATTATTATTATTTTTTTTTAACTTTTCTAAATAATTAATAATATACATGTTATACATCTGATATTTGAATATTTCGATGGCCGGGTCATTTCACTGCATACAAATTTCAGATCACCCAATCTTGCTATAAGGTTAAACATTCTATAGAGTAGACTTTTTTGGAGCAATCTATAACATAGCTTTGTGGTTTTGGTTGGTTCTTGGTACATTTTTCTGTTTGAGAACAACTAACTGTATTCGTATGGCGTGATTTCCCCTAATTCACAAAATCCTTCAAAGCTTGTGATTTTTTATTTCGTAATTTTCTTTTCATAATTCAATTATCGTAAAGTTTAACGTGTTGCAATTGAAAGTTTATGGAATTAGTTCTTTTATTTCTCTGATTGCACATTCAACAAGGTGTATCATGAATTGGTATCCAATTTTAACTAATGTAGTTTTCTGAAAATTTATAGTTGGACATTTTGTTATCTTCTTATTATTAATAGACCAATGCCGCCACTCATTCTTACTGGTATTTGGAGCTTTTTTTAGTTAAAAAAGAAAAGAAAAGAAAATGTGCAATATATGTAATAGCTTAACTATGAAAAAAAATATAGTTTCTATAAGAATAATTTGTACAGAGTTTTTAGGAGACACGACGCGTTAAAAGTCTACTTTCACCTACCCAGTTATACTAGTTTGACTGACCCTATCAAGTTAACTTAACCAGATAACATTTACTGGCTATGGAAGGGGATGGAAATAGGTTACTTTAGCCTTTACAGGTAGTAGTGTAGTATGTACCGTACCCTGAGAATCTCGTTCATTACTTTTTGGAACAAAAAGGGAGAGAAAAAACGAGTAGGGGAAAATAATCTAGATTCATTTAGAAGAAAATTTTCCTAATCCACAATGTAAAGATGACCGTAGTGTGCAAATTTTACTCATCACCCCTGTTTTATTTCTGTTATTAAAAAGAAGCCGGTGCAAGGATGGATAGAGTTCAATACATCCTTTTACTCAAATCTTCCTTTTCTTTAAAAAAGAAAGAATATAATTTTGCTATCTAGTTTCAGTTGTAAGTAATGGTATTTAAGTGCCATCATTCCTCCTTACTTTGAAGTCCACGTTACTCAAAACTGGTAAACTTTTAGTCATGTATCCTTCTCCAACGCACAAATGAATGGTGTGCAATGTGTGATACATACGTGAAGTGGGTCAACTAGAACCAAGCATTATACCCAAGTCACTTTTCGCCATAACGTGTTGGTGGTAGACTCTGAAATTCAATAGTGTGTTAACACCTATAAAATTCAATAGTGGTGGGTCTACCAGCATCATGAATGATGGAAAATTTGCTTGATCCTTATGAAGAGTCCCATTACGTCAACTAGTGTTTTCACATTAAAAAATAAATAAAAAAGTAGAATGCCAAAAAGACTGGTAAAAAAACTACTAGATTTTACTGCATCAGGAACGGATGTCCAATACAATAAGTTCACCAAGCCCACATTTTGATTTGAAAGAAGATATTAAACTGTTTGAAGTTTCTTATTGAAGGAAGAACAAGAAAAGACCTTAACGAGAGCCAAATTGGTGAAGCAATTTAGAGAAAATAGTCGATGATGAAAATTAACTGATGACAACATTACTCAGCCCACTTCCAATATTACTGCTGCCATGCTTAAGTTGTTTGATGAACAAAAGAACTAATGCAAAGAGGCAAACATCTCTCTGAATTCCAGAATATCCGGAAATGATCTCAAAAAATAAACCATTCTCCAGAAAATTCTAAGAAAATATTATTACACCTGAAAAGTTTAAGATTTTGGACTCTCTCACATACATATTACTTCAAAATTTTGCACTTGAAACAGCGGACTGCGAAAGCAAAAAGGTTCCCATTCAAAGCAAGCGTTATGGTGAAAATGGACTAAAATCACTTCAGATTTGAAAAGATGTCTAATAAAATTTAAATAAGTGTTATGGTGAGAACCTTTGAAATTTATAACCTAGCTACTGTTCAAAACCATGGAGCCGCAGTTCTTGAATATAAAAGTGAAAAAAAGTTGTAAATAGAGAGTTTGCAATAAATAATTTAACGGGCTAAAATTCAAAGTTCGGATAAAAAAAACATTGTTTCATATAATTAGAGTTTATCCAAGTTCAATTCGTAATTATTATTTTTTAGATAATTGATGATGGCTTATAGAAAATTGGTACGTAAAGATTGGCTTAACTGACATTTGTTCTGAAGAGTAAAAGTATTTTATTTATATCAGTATTATAGTTATAATATTTATTATTATTATTATTATTTGAATTACATTCACTATAACATAATTTTTTAGATTTTTTTTTAATTTGAGGGTGAAACGATATTATTTATAAGTTATTACTATAGGATTCACCTTTTTTTTCGTCTTTAACTAATAGCACTTATAAAATAATCCATATTTGTAGATTCATAATTGATATCGCATCCTATTATTTATTAATTATGTATCTATTTTCTTCCTCTTACTTTTATTCTTCGATTTTGGACCTAAAAGCCCAACTTTGATACCATGTATTATTCATATTGTTGAGCAAATTGTTCAAATCAAATGAACCAAGTTGAGCGCAAAGGTATTTCACGTTTTGGGTCCACATGGACTAAAGGAGCCAATTCTCCCAATATGAGCCTATTTTTGAGGAATTACTATTAGCACACCATATTTCTATTTAAACCTCCAAATTTTTGTTTAATTTATTGTGAAAAATACTCCTGACAGTTATATAAGTTTTGTGATTATTTTTCTGGAATCAACAAGAAAAGGAGGAACAAATAAGGCATCCTGTGATGAGCATGTGTGTTGTGTTTTGAGGAGGATATAAGTGGGCCCAACTTATCCCCTTTTTCTTCATATAATTTTATCACTGCACAGAAAAACTCCGAGAAAAAAATAGTAGCTTAAAAATTGACTTAACAACAGTAAATGAAAAAATAAATAAATGAACAATTATAAATTATAAATTCAAGTGATTGGGAAAAATCATTCTTGTATAATTTTTTTGAGTCCCCAGTCAAAATTATACGCATATAAATAATAAAGTAGAACAAAATCCTTGTGACAAAAAAAAACAAAAGATTCTATATTACAGGCAACAGTGGAGAAAGGAGGAAAAAGTTGAAATGATAGTGATAATAAGAAAACAAGTGGAAGGAAGAAGGAGCTACCAGCATGTTACTGAGTTGACAAAAGGGAATGAAAACAAAATGTAACAAAAACTATGCCGCTGTTATCGCTCACTTTATCATGCAACTTTCCAATCCAATCCAATCAATTCCTACCACCCTTTTCTATGCCTTGAACAACGGGATTCTATTGCTCTTTTCTTTTTCTCCTCCAACTCTACATTCTTAGCTTTCATCCCTCTCTTTATTCCTATAAATATCCCTCCAATTCCCAACTAAGAAATACCAAAAGTGGGACCTTCTTCTCTTCCTCTCTTCCTCACTTGCAGACGATAGCAATGGCAGGACGTTCCTACAGCCCCCTCATGCTTGCCCTCTCTTTGCTTCTTCTGCTCTCATTCTGGAATGTAGCTCAGGTACTTTACAACACCCCCCACTTCACCTTCCAATACTACCATCTAATCAACTTCAGATAAAATTTGTGTATCTGTAACATTTGAACAGGCTTATACGCGCAGTGGAACGCTTCGTCCTTCAGGTATGCAGTAAATGGTGTTAGTTAGAGGTTATTTATGAAAAATGGTAATAACGTGAAGAAGAAAACTGAACAGATTGCAAACCCAAGTGCACGTACCGTTGCTCAGCAACATCACACAAGAAGCCATGCATGTTTTTCTGCGAGAAGTGTTGTGCTAAATGCCTCTGCGTTCCTCCTGGTACTTATGGCAACAAGCAAGTCTGCCCCTGCTACAACTCCTGGAAGACCAAGGAAGGAGGACCCAAATGCCCTTAAATTAAACCTATTCTTTCTTTCATAGGCTTCCATGCCCCACACATTCACTTCTCTTCCCTTCAGCTTTCAGAGGATAACTGTTCTTATAGATTCTATTTGTGTTGCTACTATATATTTTTAATCTTCTCCCACGCAAGGGAGATAATAGAATAGCCCTTTTATTTTTACAACCATCTTCAAAACTCTTTCTTTTTATGTGTTCGGAATGTACCAGAAAGTGTTGGCCAAAAATCTCTCAGAACGCACACAATGAGAAGAGACGTGTGATATGAGACTCACACCAAACACTACAAAAAAGGAAAGTAGTGAAAGACAATATACATTATTATCGTAAAACTAAAGAGTAAAGGGATTCGTTACTTGAAGAAAAGAAAAAAATCACCTTTTTACCCACCAGTTATTTATTAGGTATATGTATGAAAAATTTCTTTAGATTTTTTATATAAACAGGTATCTATTGATATCGTCTTTTTTTTTTTTTTTTAAATATAAACTCAAATAATATTTTTATCTTAAAATATAATTCAAATTTATTCCATAAAATAATAATATAAATAAAATTATTACTTTATACTAAATACAAAAGACGACAAAATAGATTATTCAGATAAAAAAACAAATGAACTTGTTAACTCAACTTGGCCACCTCATATTTATTGTTCCAATTTCTTCTAAATACACTTCCATGTTAATATGATAATGATCACTGATATGAAACTACCAACACAAAAAAAAGTGATAGAAAAATAATTTATTCTAAATAAAGAGAGTTATTTTAAATTTTCATATAAATGTACTAAAAAAAATAAATTAATTTCCACAATAGCCACCGGGTCCTCCAAAGAGGAGAACATAACCAATGTCGACTCCTTGATATCCATAGTAAATAACACCATAACAACTAGCTATGTCAGTGAAAGGCTCTGTTTGATCTGTTTCAGGTCCATGACTTTTTCTTGATGAATCCAGAATCGATATTTCTCTAAAATAACATGCACGAAGACCTCTTGCAGGAAAATAACCAGATCCCATTTGAGGACTACGATTTCCATATGAAGTTCTTGTTCTTCCACCCCACCCCACTATATCTGCCGAGCCCAAATTGGGGAACAATGCTGCTGGAAAATATCCAAGATTTGAATTGTCCACACTTAACCACCAATTTTTTGTCACTGGATCCTGAAACATGCGTAAACTTTTGTGAATAATATACGATAATAACTATACCTATGTTACATATGGTTCTTTAATACCATGATCATGACCTGAGAAATAGAAACCGCAAACTCATAAGTTGGTCCTCCATAGATAGAAATGTTGGGTAGACGTGCACCAAGGTAGTTCTTTTTCCCAGTTTGAACAAAACCTGAACATCGAATATTGTAGCATCCTGTCTTTACGTAATTATCCCTCTGCAATTTTTTAACACTAAATTCAATTTTGAAGAATTACGAAACAAGCAACATCCAAAATTTTGAGCCAATTTTTATTTAGTACCCAGTAAGGGTTTAATTGTATCCTTCTATCTTATTTTATTACCGTCCATGATGAATAAAAATGGGTTGCATTATCACCATATATTTCTGGAACCACCTGGTATCAAAGCATGAGATTATTTAGATATATATATTTTTTTATCATGAAATTGACATATGAAGAAGATTAAAAATGCAAATTAAAACTCACATGCCATCCTGCAGAGATTTTGTTGGTAGATTCCTTGGGCCCATTTTCAACCCATATATGAGACATGGAGATTTGACGCTTATCAGTAATTCGTGGATTATATACACTATTTATTCCACTAACTCCATAATAAGGACCATAACGTGGTCGAAGAGATACTTCTGCAAGCTACAAAATTCAATATATTCAAATAAACTAAACATCAAACATCAGATCTCATATACAATTTACATAAATAAACTACCAACAGGAGATCTTACATGAACACCAGGGATACCTTGAAGCAATATATGATTATTCAGTGACGACTTTTCTCTCATCAAATCATCTTTTCTTGTTCTCAAAATGGGAACAGTTCCTCTCGGACATTTTTCTTTACCAAGTCCAAACATGGATCTAATTCGTGAATTGTTCACATTTGTTTTCTTCATTGAATTTTGAAAGGTGGGTTTCATCTGTAATTAAAGAAGGAAAAAAGGAAGAAGTTAAAATTTAGAGAAAAAATAACCTGATAAAGGTTGAAAGATACCTGCAACTTATGATCCTTTAGTAAAGGATGATCGAAAGCTGGTTGTTTGTAAATATCGATGCAATCAACAATGTCTCCAGACTCCGCCTATGGAATTCAAAACAAAAAATATATGAATAAAATTATCAACGATGTAGTGTGATAAACCGAAGGAAGCAGATGATGAATTATGATAAGACTGTGAAATACATGAATAGTCTTCACTGAAGGCTTATTGATGATTCTTAGTTGTTCCTCCAATTCCAAATCTTCTTTGAATGTAGTTTGAATAGCATCAACTTTATGACTAACATAACTACTCACAAAAAACAAAACAAAGAGTAATATATTCATCATCTTTTTCCCAGCTCTATCACCAAACAAAATGAATTGATGATATATGATATATATATATATATATATATATAGGTGACTAGTACAGTGTTATAAAAAAATAGTCTACAAAATTAATTTATGAAATATACCTTAAAAATGAAATTAATATATCTATTAACATGAAATTAATAACTTGATTAAAATATAAAAGTCAAGTCAACAATGATTTTGAATTGGCTGGCAATCTAATAACTCCTTCAGTTTCTTTTTCATTTGTCAGTTTACGTTTCTTTTGAATAAGCTAAGAAATAAATTTATTTCATAGTTTTTATTATGTAATGATAATGGCATGTATTTATTATATAGTAATGGTAATTTAATATTAATTATCCTATATTTATTATACAACATTTATTATTTTTAAGAATTATTTTTATCTTCTTTTTTAAATATGATATTTTTCATTAATAAGTTTATAGTTCAAGAGATTGTTTATAGTATATGGTGCAGCACTCTTCTTGTTAGTATTATTCAAAATAATATATTTTTTTTATATACTATTATAAATAATTATTAGATAAATTAATTAAAAAATAATCTCTTCCCTTTATTATAGATAACTTTAAAGTTGATATTGTTTACCTTTTTCATGTTTTTCAGTTTGATATTATTTCTCAAATTTTATGATTAAATTGTTTTTTTTTTCAAACTTGTATAATAATATTTGAATGAACAGGACATTTCAGTCCCTAAAATTTTACTAGTCTCTGTTTATCTTTTACAGTTGTATATATTAAACATACTAAAGTAAGTGTTGTTTTACAAAATGAAGGAGTAACAAAGGATTTTAGAAGTCAGAGAGATTAATATAAAATATATACTCATTCTTTTTAATTTTGTCTTGAATTTAAGAGTATAAACAGTGATGTAAAATCTGTTGGGAAGTAGACTTTGAGTAAGGAGAAGCATGATTTAAAAAAATATATATAAAATTTATTTGGAAAGAAAATTAATTGCCACAATTGCCTCCAGGTCCTCCAAATTGGAGATAATATCCAGCCACAGCTCCTAGTTCTCCATAGTATTTAACATCAAAACAATTAGGTTTATCAGTGAAGGAATGGGTTTAGTGTGCTTGGGGTCCACCAGTTTTTCCTGATTTATCTACATACGAGATAAACGTAAAATAGCATGCATGAACCAAGTTTCCATCAGGAGGAGTTTTTGTTCTCCCACCACACCCCACTTCTTCAGCAGAGGCCAGGTTCGAAAACAGTCACCAATATTTGGTCACCGGATCCTGAGAACATAAATGTAAACTTTGTGAATAACACATGTCATATATAATTCAATCTTTCTCATACACAGAAATGTATGACCTGGTAGATAGAAATGTGAATCTCAACAGTTGATTCACCATAGTTAGCTGTTTGTAAACGTTCACCAGGATAATGTATATTGCTGTTTTGAACAAAACCTGCACATCGAACGTTGTAGCATCCCGTCTTCTTGTAATTATCTGACTGTTATTTTCAACTTCACATCAAATTTTGAACAAATGATCGATACATGTAGTGTAACTTCCAAAAATTAGATAAATAAAAGCTTAATTTTTATATATATATATATATATATATATATATATATATATATATATATATATATTCACAACACACACTTCCACACCTAATCTACTGATATCTCTTCTTACCGTCCATGACAAGTAAAAACGGGTTCCATTATCGCCATATAAGTTTGGAGACACCTGATTACCAAAACATGACATTGATTAGATTTTATTTTTTATATCACCAGACTCAGATTAAATAACTTGTGTGGAAAATTATGATTGCAACAATTCACATGCCATCGTGTTGAGATTTTGCTGGAAGATGGAATTGGTCCATTTCGAACCCATAAAGCAGACGTGGAGACTTGACGTGTATTGTCAATTCGTGGGTTATAAATGTTGGCAAATTTTCGGTCATATATATATGATACATATTTAAATTAAATGTGTTAGGGTCATTATTTACTAAACCAAATAATAAAGTGATCTGAATAAATTAAAGTTTTGGCTAAAGGCATATGTCATGAAAATATGGTTGTGTAGAGACCATAGAGTAATTTCTAATTTGATGAGGGGCCAAATTGAAAATACTAAAACTTAAGTAATTAACCTAATTTTGGTTATATAAAGGGTCATGGTCCCCTTCTGAGAGCACACAGACAGAACGTAGTTACAGTCCCGTTCCTTTTTCTCTATCCCCATCAAGAGAGAAAATCCATAGGGAAATACATGTGCTCTACAGGTGGAAGACCATAAGATCAAATCAAAGGTGGTTTACAAAGAATATCATCATTATGACTAATTCAGGTACGCTTTCGCATTTAGTTTATAACATGTTTACGATGATGATGTATATATATATATATATATATATATATATATATATATATATATATATATATATATATATATATATATTTGATCATAAGGAAGAAGATCATAATTAATTTCAGTTTAAATTAACAATAAATGCTATTTGATCCGCTAACTCCATAGCAAGGACCAAAATGTGGCAACAGAGATACTTCTGCTGCCTTCTATAAAATTCAATTTATTCAAATAACTAGTTAATCTGAAAGATTAGATGTATAGAAATAAATTACAAATATTTTAAACTATAGTTTCATAAGAGATCATACATGAATTCCAGGGAGGCCTTGAACTAATATATCGTCATCTGATAATGATTTTTGTCGAATGAGATCATCTTTTGTGATTCTCAAAATCGGAACCGTTCCTGTTGGACATTTGTCCTTGCCCAATCCAAACATGGATCCAGTTCCTGAATTGTTCACATTGGTTTTTTCAATTGAATTTTGAAAACTGGGTTTCATCTAAAGAAAGAAAAGTATAATCAAAGCAAGGTTGAAAATTAACTCCAAAAGATTGAAAGATTTTCCTTATATACCTGCAACTTATGGTCCTTTAGTAAAGGATGGTCGAATGCTGGTTGTTTGTAAATGTCGATGCAATCAACAATGTCACCAAATTCTGTGAAAAAAATTATTAATGATGCAGTGTGATAAATAGAAGGAAGCATGTGATGAAATATGAGAAGATTATGAAATACATGAATAGTCTTGATTGGAGGCTTATTGATGATCTTTAGTTGTCTCTCCAATTCCAAATCTTCTTTCAGGTTATTTTGAATGCCATGAACTCTACGATTAGCATGACTATTCACCAAAAACAGGACAAAGAGTAATATATTCATCATCTTTTTGTTAACTCTATCACCACTTGATGATCTATTATATATAGATACAGGTGACTACTAATGTTAAAATGTATTTTAAGTTTATTATAGGATTAATTTGAATAATATATATATATATATATATATATATATATATATATATAAAATTAAAGTCATCACAATTTGTATAATATTTATGGAACTTAAATTCAAAATATAATAAATAAAATATTTACTACACACTATTTATTATGTGTGGCAGTTATTATATAATTTTTTAATTATAATATTTATTGGGTTAAATTTTATAGTTAAAAAAAAAAACAAAAAGTGATTAATATAAAAAATATTTTTTTTCCAATAATAAAAAAATATTTCTTTTCTAACGTAATCTCATATTTTTTTTTCAGTTACAATGAGAAAGAGAAAAAAAAACCATAAAAGAATATTATTTTATAAAATTATATCTTTTTAAATTAATGTTATTTGTTTTTATATTTATAATTTAATTGAGATATATAATTTTTTAATTATATTACTTTGATATAATGTGAGTATTAAAGTTATTATAAAAATTAATTCAATAATTTAATACATGATGATAAGTATCAAAATTAAGTGTTATTAATTTTGTTTATGTCATTTATTTATTTTTTAATTATAAAAAAATATTTCTACAAGAAAATATATAATTATAAATGAAAATTTATTGATGATTTTTATTCTGTTGATAAATTCATATGGATAATTTATATTATTGAGAAAAATTTATCAGTAAATATTATCTGTCGATAAATTTACAAAATTTTATAAAAAAAAATTCCGATATCTCAATTTAAATAAATTAATATTATAATTAAATAATTAAACACTATTATCATTTATTATTAAATATTAAATTATTAATTCTCTAATTATTAATAAAATAAATAACGATAAATATTAATGTATTTATTATTTACAAATTTTAATTAATAAATAATATATTATATTTAATTATTAAATATTAATATAATTGACCTTACTAATATCAAATAATTTTAATTAAAAATCTGTTAACAATTATAAAGTTTAAAATAACTAACTAAATTAAATAACTTTTTATTTAATGGTTAGATTAACATCTAATTACTACTAATTAAGAGTGTAAAATTTGAATATTTAGTAATTTTTTAATTAAACTTGAAAATTTTTAATAATGAAAAATATAGAATTCAATGAAATAATTAAAAATATTATTTAAATTAATTATGTTATTAATAAATATTTATTTATTAAATATAAATAAATAATATATTTAATTGATAAGTATTAATGATTAATTAATTAATTTTTAATTTTTTAATTAATAATTAAATAAAATATATATATATATATATATATATATTTAATTATTAAATATTAATATAATTAACCTTAATGATACCAAATAATTTTAATTAAAAAATCTCTTAACAATTATAAAGTTTGAAATAAATAATTAAATTAAATAACTGTTTATGTTAGGTTAACATTATTTGTTAATGAACAATTCTTATTCGTTAAAAGTGTATTTTAAGTAATTAGTAATTTTGTCATTAACCTTGAAAATTTTAAATAATAATGAAAAATATAGACTTTAATGAAATAATTAAAAAATAGTAAATTATTAAATTAATTATTTTATTATTAAATATTAAATTATTATTTATTTAATTAAGTATACAATAAGTAACTTATTTAATTGATAAATACTAATGTATTATTTATTTTGTATTATTTATAATTTTTAATTAATAAATAACATATTATATATTTAATTATTAAATATTAATATAACTAACCTTAATGATATCAAATAATTTTAATTAAAAAAGTGTAATTAATATATAACTTTTATTTAAAAAGAAGATAAGATAAGTGAACCTTTCTTGATTGGCCTAATGGGTTATTTCAAATTGAAACTGACATGACAAAGAAAGAAAAAAAAAAGGAATTGTGATTCTTAACCAACATCTAGACCAAACCCTAAAGATTGATGATACAATGAGTAAAATCCTACTCTCATATTAGGATGCTTGTGTTGTGCTGTGTTCGCATGTCGTGTTTGGTGTCGTAAGTAACAAAGGTCCAAAATCAAATCTCCGAACATGATATCGAGCTATTGCTATTGCACAGTGTTGCAATTCTCTTTGTCATCTTCTTATTCACAAAGCTTATTTGCGAAGGTCACCCTGTTATTTTCTTTGAATAAAATGTAACCAATTTTAAGAGTTAACGTTTGTTAGAATATAAAATAAAGAGAAGATAACTAGGTATTAGTTGGAACATTTAGATATTAATGACATTTTGGATAGATATTATTTGATTTTATAAATATTCTGGTATTGTATACAAATACATAATTATATTCCTCATTTGAGGTTTGACAGAGAATATACAGTTTTAGAGTTTCTGATAAATTTTTGTTATCAAATTAGTATAAGAGATAAGTTTTTTTTTAGAAGAACTAGGGTTCTTCAGAAAAGTGAGACTTAGTCTTTGTGTTGTAAAACTTAAATCAAGAAATATTATTTTTATTGTTTGACATTTCTAGAATAATATTAATAGTCTTAGGCATGAGTTGCATGTGACAATATACCTATTTAATAGTATTATGATTTACTTTTGGCACTTGAAGAGGTAAACATTTTGCTCATAAATACTTATAACAATTCATTTGAAATCGTAGCAGGAGAAACATTGAGAGATTAAAAAAAAATTGTTGTCAACTTCTATTTTCTGCCTACTTGTTACCAACAAATTGGTATTAGAACTTGTGTGTGTAAGGTGAGCGTAAGAAAACCTACCAAGCCTCAAGAGAGAACGATGCGGTGTGCACTGACTGAGAAAGAGAGAGAAGTGACCAAGAGCTTTGTGAGGTGTGTGAGTTGAGTGTAAACACTTGAGAGAAATGACAGGTCTAATCAATGACATCCCGCTACCAAGTTGACAAAAGGCGCCAACTATGACAATTGGAAGGTACAAATGAAGGTCCGTCTTGGCTCCCAAGATAACTGGGATGTGGTCGAGACTGGATATTGGGATGTGGTCGAGACTGAGTATAAGGAACCTGCAAACACAAATAGGTATTCAAACGATAGCTATTGGTAAAATATAATAGAGACTGTTTTGAACTTTTAAACGTTTATTGAATATTGAATGAATATGGAGTTTGGTGAACAAACAAATAGCATATATTATAATTTTACATTATAACTAAATAGACAGCACAGTACAAACAAACTCGATTCATCTTGCTGTTAGATTTGTTTTGGTGAACCTTTTATTATATTAATCCAATTTATTGTTTGAGTTTAATTTATATTTGGAAATAAATAGTCATTTCTTTAATTATGTATAAATTATGAGTCTTTTGTGTCTTACATGTATAAATTATGTATAGAGAATTTTATGGACATAAGATTTTTTAAAAATAATGTAGATTTGGGGTGGATTATGACGGAAGTAAGATTTTGGTGTAAAATGATAAAAAAAAAAAAATTGGATCAATTTATATACGACTTGGTCATCCAAGTTGAATTTGTAGGTCGGGATCACCCACCAATCCACCTAATTTTTTTTATTTAATTATAAAGATAATATTAAATTAAAGTTTTAGTTCTTTAAATTATTATATATTATGTAAAAACTTAAAATTGATGAACTTCCTATTTATAAAGATGCAAGAATGAGTTAATGTGATATTTTTAATATTTAAATTCTTCATGCATTATGCGGACTCTTTTAAATTCATAATTATGAAGTTTTTTCGCTGTTAAATATATAAGAAAAATAAAAATATAGATTTTTTATTTATTTTAAAAATGATTATTTTAGATTTTAGGTGGGCTAACATTTTTAACTCACCCTCTATTGAGATGGATCAAGCTAATAGTATTTTAGTATATTAAACTGATTTTATTTACAAGCTAAATCGAATAGGGTTAAATACATTGAATTTATCTATTTTTTAATAGTTATAGATTTTAAATATAGTTAAATATTAGCGGATAAATTTTTTAAATTATCGATATATATATATATATATATATATATATATATATATATATACTATCCCTAATAATTTTTATTTTTTTATTTTTTAAATTAAATCATCAAAATAAAGTTATAGATAAAAAATATTAATAATTTAAAAAAATTAAATTTTGATTTGATAGATTTATATTTTTTATTTAGGTTTCGAAATTAAAGTTGTTATTAAAAATATTACTTTTTCATTTAAATTTATAATATGAATTACAATTTATTTGAGATTATATTTTAGAAAAAACTAATTATGGTATAATTTTAAATTATATTTTAAGATAAAAATATTATTTGAGTTTATATTAAAAAAAAGACGATATCAATAGATACCCGTTTACATAAAAAATCTAAAGAATTTTTTTCATACATATACCTAATAAATAACTGGTGGGTGGGTAAAAAGGTGATTTTTTTTCTTTTCTACAAGTAACAAATCCCTTTACTCGTTCAGTTTTATACCAAAATAATTTATATTGTCTTTCACTATGTTCCTTTTACGTAGTGTTTGGTGCGAGTCTCATATCACACGTCTCTTCTCATTGTGTGCGTTCTGAGAGATTTTTGGCCAACACTTTCTGGTACATTCCGAACACAATAAAAAGAAAGAGTTTTGAAGATGGTTGTAAAAATAAAAGGGCTATTCTATTATCTCCCTTGCGTGGGAGAAGATTAAAAATATATAGTAGCAACACAAATAGAATCTATAAGAACAGTTATCCTCTGAAAGCTGAAGGGAAGAGAAGTGAATGTGTGGGGCATGGAAGCCCATGAAAGAAAGAATAGGTTTAATTTAAGGGCATTTGGGTCCTCCTTCCTTGGTCTTCCAGGAGTTGTAGCAGGGGCAGACTTGCTTGTTGCCGTAAGTACCAGGAGGAACGCAGAGGCATTTAGCACAACACTTCTCGCAGAAAAACATGCATGGCTTCTTGTGTGATGTTGCTGAGCAACGGTACGTGCACTTGGGTTTGCAATCTGTTCAGTTTTCTTCTTCACGTTATTACCATTTTTCATAAATAACCTCTAACTAACACCATTTACTGCATACCTGAAGGACGAAGCGTTCCACTGCGCGTATAAGCCTGTTCAAATGTTACAGATACACAAATTTTATCTGAAGTTGATTAGATGGTAGTATTGGAAGGTGAAGTGGGGGGTGTTGTAAAGTACCTGAGCTACATTCCAGAATGAGAGCAGAAGAAGCAAAGAGAGGGCAAGCATGAGGGGGCTGTAGGAACGTCCTGCCATTGCTATCGTCTGCAAGTGAGGAAGAGAGGAAGAGAAGAAGGTCCCACTTTTGGTATTTCTTAGTTGGGAATTGGAGGGATATTTATAGGAATAAAGAGAGGGATGAAAGCTAAGAATGAAGAGTTGGAGGAGAAAAAGAAAAGAGCAATAGAATCCCGTTGTTCAAGGCATAGAAAAGGGTGGTAGGAATTGATTGGATTGGATTGGAAAGTTGCATGATAAAGTGAGCGATAACAGCGGCATAGTTTTTGTTACATTTTGTTTTCATTCCCTTTTGTCAACTCAGTAACATGCTGGTAGGTCCTGCTTCCTTCCACTTTTCTTATTATCACTATTTATTTCACATTTTTTCCCGTTCTCCACGGTTGCCTATAATATAGAAACGTTGTTTTTTTTTTTTTTTTCACAAGAGTGTTGTATAACGCTTTCAAAAGTATAAAAAATAATGATATTTAAAGATATAATTTTGTTTTAAATGTAATATATAGAAATTTAACTGGGGACCAGTGCTGAAACAAGGTGCACAAGACTTTTATAAATGTGTTTTTAGCATTACCTTTTGTGGTCCACACTCACGTTTGCTTTTATAAATTTCTACGATCCCAAATTATGTCCTCGTGTACGGATGGACATGTGAGTGAACATGCAGTTCACTGTTGTTGTATTCATTAATAGATAGATATTTGTGGGCTATAGCCAAAACCGAACAGAACTTACAAATTAGTAATTGTCTAACAATTCACTACTACGATAAAAGGAATAAAAAAAACGTAATAAAAGAACGATAAAAGGAAAAAAAAAACGTAATAAAAGAATTTTATTATCAGGAGAAACAGAAATAGAAAATATCATATAATTTCACTACCACAAGAACTTACAATATATATCCTCATTAAATATGAAAAAATAATAATAATATTGTTTCTAAAAAAACAAGAGAACTTCATTACTATATAATGTCCTAGTAGAAAAAATAATGAAGAGATTTGGAATGATTTATAATATAGAGATGATGCTCCTTTTATAATAGGAAAAGTAATTACCAACATATAATTTTTTTTATGTGAAATTTTTCTTCTCACATTCTCAATCTCTCACTTAAAGATTTTGATTAAATTAATCAAATATTCACAATATATGATTATTTTCTTTCATGTTATTATTGTAATAGACCTTCAATAAGATCGTCTCTATGTAAACTTGTTATTGTTAATTGATTGTCATAACATCTGCTAGGTTATTCTTGTTTTATTCTGAAATAAGAGGCATGATTCCTTGTAATGTACAAGACTCTCTAGCTGTCACATTACACAATAATTTGTTATTGTTTGTGCCCGAGTTCTTTCATTATCCTCTTAATTCAAATAATTTTCTTACATGCTTAGGTGACTGTCATGTACTCAGTTTTTATAATAGACAGACTAGTTATTGTCTCTCCAATAAAGGTAAACTCATCAAGATCACCTGCAAAACCTGAACAAACATAATATTTGACAACTAGTTTTGATCCTCTGAAACATAATACAACATTCACAGTTCCTTTGATAAGAATTCGCTTGATAATACTTATGCTCTCCACCATAATTTTCCATTGATATACTAACCGCTCTCACTGCTTGTGCAATGTTTGGTCTTGTACCTATCATGGTATTCATAAGACTTTCCACCGTTGATGTATACAGTACGCGAGACATTTTCATCCTTTCTATTTCATTGCTAGGACTCATATATACTTGAAGATAAATTGATAGAAAATTGGGTAAAAATTGGCTTACACCCTAGCATGTTAAAGCACAACAAGACATTCAGTAAGTATTCTTCTGATAAAGTTAAACATTCCTATCTTTTATGTCCTGGTGAATTTGCATCCCTAAAATCTTGTTTGTTGGTCCCTAGTTCTTCATATTAGACTTCCTAGTCAACTATGTCTTTAAAACTCAAATTCAAACTTTGTTAGAGCCTACCACCAACATGTCATCTACATATAACAACAAAATGATAAAATCATTTTCATCAAATATATTGTAATAGGTACAATACTCTGAACTTAGTCTATTGTAATCAAGACTAACCATGAAGAATCAAATCTCTTGTACTAACACCTGGATATTTGGTTTAAACCGTACATATATTTGGTCAACCTGCAAACCAAGTTTCCTTTTTCTTTAAATCTTCTGGTTGGAGCACACCAATTCATTCTTTAAGTTCACCTTGAAGAAAAATAATATTTGTATCACCGCTAACATTAACTTTGTGAATAGTGGGATCCACAAGAAATACTCATTCACATTGTTAGCATAGTCCAAGAATTTTTCTTTCCCGAACTTTGAAAACACAAATTTCTTCTTGATGCGATACACTCATAATCTTCTGAAGTAATCATTGTCATCACTGACACAAAATATTTGGCCCTCGTAGGGATAATACCTACGATTCTAATACATCATAATAAATCAAGTTCAATATTTGTTTCATCCTGATACAATTTGACAAGGGACTCCCAAATCTCCTTCATTATACCATTCTCCACAAATTTGCTATAGTGTTGTAAATTTCTTCCCACCTTCGATCTGTGATGCCCATGATCTTTCTCCAATTCTTTTTACACAATTGTCTTTTCTCAAAATTGCATTCATATTCAATTTTCACAATGAGAAACTATTCTCCTTTAAACTTCTCTATCTCATATTTTGTTGTCATGGTTTTAACCGACTTATGCACCTTTCACTATGAATAGTATTACCTACTGGAATAATAACATAAACTATAACTAGTACACCAGGTAAGTTCCTAGTAAAGAGAGGTGGGTCGCTAATAGATACACTTAAATATCAAGTATTTCCTTGCGAGAATTTTTCCTAAACATGTACTGTCACACTACCAATAACTAGAATAACTATTTTCTGATGTGGAAGATCAGATTAACTGCAACCACACAGAGCATACTAAGAATTTCCTCCAATACTATTTTAATGACTATAGTAGTAGAATAATATCATAAATAAGAAATCAATCATTGACTCTAATACCATTGTTAGAAATCAGTAACTGCATAAGAACTCACAACTAAAATAAAAGATGAGAACAGAGAAACAAAATAGACAATAGGCAGTAATAGAATTTTACTACCGAAAGAAATTACAATACTCTTTTTAAATCTAAGGAGAAAATTTTCTCAAAAATAAGAGAACTCAACTATTATGCCTTATACTAGTAGAATTTCTATTGACAATTAAATTTGTACTCGTGGGAACCCATCCGTCCCTACCCCGAGTTTGACGAGAAAAAGTCGAGTTTACCGGAGATGGGAGCGGGTTCGGGTTTTCCCCACTTTAAAAAGTCGGGGTGGGGGCGGAGATGAGTAATGCAATCCCCACCCTCGCCTCGTCCCCGTTCCTGCCCCGACTTTATATTTAAATTTAAATTTAAATTTTAAATTATTAATATTTTAAAAGTATTTCCTTTTCTTTTTCTATTACATATAAATTATTTTTTTTATATTTCACCATTTTTTATTTTTCTTTATCTACTTTTTAATTCTTTTATCTTTTTTAATCTTTTATATCAATTAGTTTATTATATTATTCTCTTTCTCTTACCTTTCAATTTTTCACATTTCTTTAATTTCTCTAATCAATTTATTTATTTTTTTAATCTTTTCAACTAATTTGATGAACACAAAATTAATTTTTTTTAATCTTTTTCTAAATATTTTACATAAATCTTAGTCAGTAACTGATACTATTTTATTTATAATTTATATTTATTAAGTTTTACTATGTTATATTTTTTGGATCTTATTATTCTTATTTGTCATATATCAAATTTTATTTTAATAAAATAATTGTATTTTAAAGGATTAAAAAGAATTGATAATTTAAACTTTTATTACTTCAAACTAATTAAATAAGAATTAACTTATTAAATATTTCCTTATAAACTATATATTTCATATTTTTAAATGACAACTTAATAATGAATTAACTTATATATGTAATCAAATGTTTGAATGCAGTATTATAATAATAATATTATAAGTATTCAAATATTTGAGTTTAATATTATAATAATAATATTATAAATATTCTATATATGTAGAAATAAAAAATAATTAAATATTTATTTTATGTATATATTTTAATATAAATATAATAAATTAAAAAATATATTTAAATAATAATAATTACAAATTGTAAAATTATAAATATTTATTTATGTATAAAAATAGTAAAATTAATTTATTATAAATATATATTTTTTAAATAATATAGATCGGAGATGGGGCGGGAAACCCGAAACACAAAGAGGATGAAGATGATGACTTAATTTATAACCCCGACGTGGATCGGGGACGAAGATAGTTAAAAAAGTCGGAGGCGGGGATCGGGGAGGCAAAATTCGCCCCTCCCCTGTTGTCATGCCTAAGTAGAAAGAAGAAAGAAGAAATTTAAGGTGATTTACAAGATAAATATAATGCTCATTTTATAACAGAAAAAGTAAACACTAACAAATAATTTTCCTTGACTTCTCTTCTTACATTCTCACAATATAATATGTTATTATAGGAGCTACAATATGAAAGTTTACATAAAGTGTTTTAACCCTTCTAGTTAGGATTATCTTAAATTAAAGAAATCAAATCCACAAACAAAACATAAAAAAAAAGAAGAGAAAAACCCATAAATAATGAAATAAAATTGAATGAAAATATGACACTGCTACTAGGAGTGGTAATGTGGTGGAATCGTGTGTTACAGAGGACATCAAGAATCATGTTTGATACTTAATATGTCTTGTCTTCCAAGTTGTAGTCACTAGTTAGGATCATATTTGATGCTAAAGTAAAGTTGTGTCTTAGAATGCATAACCTTGCAAATAATAGATACATGTTAAAAAAGTAGCTACCAGAAAAAGAAAAAAAGAAAAAAAAAAGTTAAGGTGATATAAGACACTAGAATGCAGAAATAGTTAAACTCATGAACATTGTAAATATAGGAATTGAAACACTTCCTTCACCATGGTTAAAAGATTGTTGAAAATTCAAATATGAGTTTGAATTCTCATATTAGGTAGAAATGGAAAAGTTGAGTAACTTATAAGTGAGAAAGACTCATAACCTAATGCCTCAAGGTTTTGGGTTGAAGGTAATGTCATATTTTCTTATATGATTGGCACATGACCCATTTGTGAGAATCTTCTTGCCCTTAGCCAGGGGAAGGTATACCAATGTGAAAGGGAATCACACTTAGTCAGGGGAAGGTATACCAATATGAAAGGGAATCACACTTGAGGGGGAGATGTTGAGAATTCAAGTGTGAGTTTGAAGTCCCACAGTGGGATGTCTTAAGATTTTTGGTTGAAGGTTGTGTCATATTCGCTTGAGGGGAGAGAATCACACTTGATGGGGAGATGTTGAGAATTCAAGTGTGAGTTTGAAGTCCCACATTGGGTAGAAATATAACTTATAAGGGAGAAAAACCCATGACCTAATGTCTTAAGGTTTTAGGTTGAAGGTTGTGTCATATTCGCTTGAGGGGAGAGAATCACACTTGAGGGGGAGATGTTGAGAATTCAAGTGTGAGTTTGAAGTCCCACGTTGGATAGAAATATAACTTATAAATGAGAAAGACTCATAACCTAATACCTTAAAGTTTTTTGTTAAAAGTTGTGTCATATTCTCTTATATGATTAGCTCATAATCCATTTGTGAGAATTTTTCTAATGTTAACCCCTTCAAAACTACCTAATAAAGGTCAGTCTTTGCATACTAAACTTCTGCTACTTTCAGCTTCCTCTACTTAAGGTTGAAGTGGATGCATATGACAGAGGAAAGTTGATATGCAAAATTGATGATGATTAGATGATTAAAAATGTGGTTTGAGGTGACCGATAAAGGTTTGGTTTGGGTGTGGAATATGGAGTTGAGTATAAAGAGGGAAGTTAGGTATTTGAATGGAAGGTAGAACTTAACAAAAGGAAGATTTTTGAGATTCCATACCATATAAACATTGTTAGTTTTTCAAACAAGCCAACAATTTCGTATTATAAAAATTTAAGTGAACATTAAGAAGAAGGGCTTGAACCTCCGATCTTGTGGTTAACAGCCACATGCTCTAGCCAACGGAGCTCTTTCAGCTTACATCTAAACTTAACTCAAATACATAAATCATTTCTTATATAATTTTAAATTAATAGATCAAAACTGTTTGACGATATTTGAAAGCTGGATTAAACAAATTTATAATATATCCCAAAAGAATCATATTGAAATTTAAAATTCTTTTAGTATTATTTATATCTAATATTTAATAAATATACAACTTTAATTATGACAGTTTCAATAATTATTTTAGTAAGATATTATACTTTGACTGAGACATCATTATATTTTCTTTGATCAATAGATTACAGCTTTTTCAGAATAATTGAAATTTTGATTAAATAATTTTTTAGTATCTTAAAAAAATAACTTATTAAAATGAATATTTCTAAAATAATTCAGTAATTTTGATATTCAATATTTAATAAATATGTAAATTCAATCTTAATAATAAATTTATTATTTTTAAATTACCTATCTTGATCATTAACATGTAATATTATCTAAATTATTTTATTAATTATTAAATATTAATTTTGAAATCAGTAAAAATATATTTTAGTATAAAATAAATCAATTTTTAAGGTATCAAAAATTTATTGAGCTCTAAACCTTGTATATGTTTTTTTATTACGATAAAGTGTCATTTTACTTCCTGAAAGCCGAATACACACACTATCACATTACTTTTTTTATAACTAAAATATTAAAAGGTGTTTTCTAAAAGCGTAAGTTATTTTATCAAAATTTCTATATTTAATTATTTATTGTTATTTTCTTAAGTCACATATTAAACATGCGATCAAACTAATGTGATGGAAGAAAAAATAAAGGAGAAAATACAAATAATTAGGGAATGGTTTTTGCTTCACCAAAAAAAAATCTGAGCATGTTACTTGATTATTTATAGCAGAGATTATAATACTAAAAGAGTTGTCACGTTAGAAAATTAAAATAAATGATTTGTGACCTTAAAGAATGAAGTTTGAACTGAATTAGTATAATAAAATTTATAAGAGGGAATAGTAACTTGATACTTTTGAAAAGAATAATCTAAGCACGAAACAAATTGACATGAAATAAGTTTTGGGCGATATTTCCTGAGCATGGCTTTGGTGGACTCACAATTACAGTACCGTGTGATTGGGATCACCTTTATTATTTATTGGCAAATTTTATTAGAAAATCACGAGTTAAACACCTTAAATAATAATAAAGTACAAGTTCTTATTTATAGTTTTAATTGATAATAGAGAAAAATGTTTGTCTATAAAAAGGAGAAAACTGGACAATATCAGTCCTCGATGCGTGCTGGATTAATTCAAGCAATTGATTGTTGTAGAGGAAGTGATTTAGATTTTGAAGCATACATTTTTTTTTTTCCAGAGAGGATGTGAGGCTTTGTTAAGGTTGATATTTTTCACCTTCGTGTATCATCATTTGCATGCTTTGCTTAGCATGAATTGTTATTGGTAGTTTACTTCCCTCGTAATAAATTGAACTTATCTTGGAACATTATAAAATGACATTGTTCACAGTATACTTAAACAGGATTTCTGACTTGTGTGTTAATCCCACAGACATTCTAGTTAAGTTATAAAAATTGAATTATTTAAATAAGTATACAACGGCAGAGAATTCCTAAATTATAACTATACAATATTTTCAACTTTCTATATTTACATAAATAAAACGACAGTCTTTAACAATATTTTCATCATCATAACTTCAGGTTGATAAATGTGAATAGGAACGTACACTCCAAGGGTCCAAATAAGTTAATAATCACCTTTTTATAGATATGATTAGTATATATAATGAATAATAAATATTTTAATATTCATTATATTTAATATTTTAAATTATATTACAATGTTTTTCTATTTTCCTAATAAAAATCATAAATATTTAATATATTTTCAAGAGGTTATGTGTATTTTCTGTTTCATTCACTACTTCATAGAAAAATAATTGGAATACATTGTAAATGGTAGATATGATATTACTCGCATGTAAAACCAAGAAGAGATCAATAAAATAATTACACATGTTCCTTAAACTTTTTTCTAACAATCCTCTTACATAGTAAAAAAAGTAGTAAATGTCAATATATTCTCAAGACTTTAAATAAATTACTTGTTGAGTTACTATTTTCAACGTATAAAATTAAAGAATTAATTAAAAAAATATTATGGTGTTATTTATTTATTCAACATGAAGATGCTTTACCCAATGTGAATTCGACTCGAAAGAATCCCCTAATATTATTAACCAAAGCAATGTGCTTCAATATGTTGTCTAGCTATTACCATTGAGTCAATATCTACAAATTGGTTTTGTCAAGAGACAAACTATTAATTAGCAAAAGAAAACATGAATTATCTTAATGTACCAGAGACAATACGAAAGTAAAGAAGCAAGTTACGATTTCCTGTTTTACCAATCACTGCTTGCAGTGTTGATATTAATCCTATCGCTATCCAACATAATTTTTCAACGTTGTTACTACTAATAAATAAATATTGAATCTGTTTCAATAAATTCATTAAGTAATTTTTATAGTAAAAACAAACAAACTGCATCTCTTGTTATATGATAAGTCTTTCAAATCTGAAAAAATAAATAAATGAGACAATTTTTTATAATGGTTAAAATATTGTAACAATTTTTTTTAATTGTATTTTTTATAAATTTTGTTAATAATTTTACCAGCCGTTGTCTCAATTAACTTTTTCTTTATTAATTATTGTTGGCTCTCATACATTTTTATATTGCAATTATGCACATTATATTATATGACATAATTTGTAGAGAAATTTTGAATGGAAGAGTTACGACATTATATTTTTCAACAAGATATATAATAGAACAATCGTAATTACATATTTTCAAAAAAATGATGTATTTTCTAAACTATTTTTTACTGGTTATAATATGAGAGATAATACTCATTAAATGAATATTTTAAAACGCGTAATAAATTTTAGCAAATAATAAAAGTATATTTACAATTTTTAAATAAATTAAAAAGTAAATAAAAGTGTTTTTTATTAGATTTTAAAATTCTCTTGAATGATGTAAATATTTAGAGTTCAGAATTTTTAACCTATGCTAATAGAACCACAACACTTTTATCCCAAAAAAATACAACTGTTTGTCTATTGTTTTTAATAATAGTTTTTTAATATTTTAACTTTTAAACAACAAATAATGTTAAATAAATATGTTTATTAAAATTACATTTAAAAATAATTTTATTTTGTATTTTTATATCAGGCAATTGTGGAAATTATTTTCTATTTTTCTAAATATTTGGTGAACTTATTTCATATAAAACAGTTTTTAAATTAAAATCTCTAAATATTTTTTTATAATTTACTTACCAACAAAAATCTTAAATTTGATTTCTGAACCTATTAAAAAATGCTAAATAAAAATAAATTTAATAAGGGAAGAACTTAGTTCAATGTTAACTTTTCTTTATCCGTTTACAACCATCAAATGTTATCAAGTCTTCTCCAAGTCTTCAAGTTGACTTGATAGTCGCGGAATTATCCGTACTTCTAAACTTTATAACTCATTATGTTTTTCTAAAGTTACTTAAAATTGGATCAAGTTCCCAATTCTGCCTATAAATGTTATAAAGGACATTTCATCGAATTCTAAAACATATAAAAATTTGAAATAGTCAGTAGACAAAAAATTGCTATATATATATATAGTTAATTTATCCAAAGGCCTTATGGTGTTTATAATACCCCTTCCATAAAATTAAAAATTAGAAACTCTTCATATATTTTCTACTTCTGTGATATATATATATATATATATATATATATATATATATATATATATATATATATATATATATATATATATATATATATATATAAACTGTCATGCAAAACATCGTTATAAAACTGCTACCCTAATTGGGTTAGAGTAACAGCTTCATTTTTCATTTGCTTCATGAAATTTTATATATTGTGAACATAATTTTAATTCAATTATAATAAAAGTATACATGGATACAATTTTTCCTAACCATGTAAACAATTTGTTTCAGTTTTTTTTTTAAATAGATTCATCAAAATACATTTTAATCTATGTATAAACCTAATTTTTTAAGTTACTGTTTCTATTGTTATTTCTCATTTTTTAAGATGTTTATATAAAAGTATTAAAAATGTCATTTCCTCTAAATTCATTCACATCACATGGCAATCTACTATTGTCTCTTTTTTCAATATAAAGACATCTATTGACTATTTAAAACATATTCACACTAATACAATATTAGGGGGAAAAACACATTGCACAAGTGATCATCATATAAAAACGAGCAATTTTTTTGTGAATTTAAAATAAAAATCATATGAAGTGTCCATGTTCTGTTAAAAAACATTTAGAATACTAAACAACTAGATAACAACTTACATATATTCTTTTAAAATAATTACAATAAAAATGAAGGGAAAAAAACTAAAAATTTTGTATTTCAATTAAATTCATTTTATAAAGATGCAAATAAAAACATTCAATTGTTAGAGACAATGGCATGTACGTATCTGGACAGAAAACTGGAGAGAAAATATTAAGTTTCGACTTCTATCATGTATCAGTGATTCTTCTTTTGAAAGTTACTATAATTAGACAAAAAAAAGTATTTAGAAGGTGTGGACCAAAACTGAGGGAATAAATACAATAGAAATAGTAGCTATATTTTAGGTTAATTGGTTATTAAATTTCCTACTCTTGACCACCAAACCCAACCCACCTTTTTCAATTCAACTCCGTGTTGAGCTCAGCAACACCACTCCCCTCACATCATAGTATCATCACGCAATGAACCGTTCCAGACCGTTCACGCGTTTTCGATCATATTTTCTGTCAGTTTTTAATTATTTCAACTCCGTATTACGGATATCGTGCACATACAATACCAGCCAACCATTCACAATATTTTATACACATTATATTATATAAATATTTAAAAATAAAAACAAGTCAAACCCACCGTTAATTACTCGTTACTCTACAAAACGGAAACCCATATTCGTTACGAGATTTCCTCTTACCATTTCTGATAAGTACGGAAAATTTATTATATGAAAAATACATGTTGACAACCGTCCTGTAAATCGTATTATTCCTAATTGGCACCACGAACTGGAAAAATAGTTTTAAGGAAAAAAAAAGAAAAAAAATACTCCAGTGCATGAAATTAAAAATCAGTCAATCGATTAATATTTTTTAAAAAGAAAATAGTGCAGTGACAATGGAATTAGAAAAAAAAAAAAACGATAGGTTTTCCATGAAAAACAAGAGTTATTATCATTATAGTAACTAGAAAACTTAGTCCTAAAAATTTTACCACTACTACTACTTCTTCATGCTTCGATCTTCAGTCCCTAACCTAACATCTAAAGCCACATGTCACGGTAGAGAATGTACAGAAGATGTTAACAACTACTTTATGTGCACTTCGTACTTTCCTACTAACTGCATAAAGGAAACCTGGCACGAGGAAGCGTAAACATACCTTTTAACAATGGAGTCGCCTTGATTTTAAGAGCGAGTCATCATCTTCTTGAATTCCTCAAAGTTGACGCTGCCATCGCCGTCGACGTCAACGTTGCTGATCATTCTCCGGCAGTCGCCGAGGGAGCACTTCTCGCCGAGCTTGCGGAGCACGTCGTGCAACTCTTTCGCCGATATGAGGCCGTTCTTGTCGACATCGTAGAGATCGAACGCGTCGCGGAGCTCCTTCGAGTCATCGTTTCCGGTCTCATTGCAGTGGAAGTCGGCAAACTCCTTGAGATCAATGTAACCGTCGCCGTTCTGGTCGAGTTCCTCCATCATGCGTTTCAGTTCCTCGTTCGTCGTTTTGGATCCTAGCGCACCGAGCATGTCTCGTAACTCTGTGATCGAGATTTTTCCGTCCCCGTTCTTGTCGAACTTGTTAAAGATCTGACGCACCTCGTCGTCCATGGCGTCGTCTCACTAGTTCGCGATCGAGAGCGAAAAACGAAAATGAAAAATCTCTCAAGTTTCGCCTTAGGGTTTGTTTGTTGGAGTTTTGTTCTCAAGGAAAAGGAACGCGTTATTTATGGTTGGGTTGTTATATTTATAGTGCGCCGTTTCTTTCACGCGGTTTCTTGCTTAACGCGTCGATGACGAGGTGGGAACCGTAAATACAAGAGTGGGGTCAGTGGTGGGTTTGATCAACGGCAGTGGAGTGTACTGGAAGAGAAGGGAACGATGACGTGACCTTTAGCGAATAACATCCTGACGCGTGTCACTACACGTGATGGAGTGCACGAGAAGATCGTTTGTTTTGGGAGAATGGAAACAAATTGTTCAGAAACAATTTTAGCATGAATCATTTAAAAGGTGTTAGCTTATCTTTTGTTATTAAATTTAGAAAATGCTAACATGTTTCTAATATATAAGTATTAAATACGGAATAAAATAATATAAAATATTTATTACAAAAATTTAAAAGATTTCCTTGTGTGAATTTACTTAATTTCTTAAAAGGGAAATTTTATATTATATTCGTCTACAATTGTTTAATAAGAAGATAAAAATAAATATAATTAAAAGAAAGATATCTATTATCATGAAAGCGTGAAAGTTATTTAATATTCTATTTTTTCATTTAAAATATTTAATATATTGTATCTCACACTTTTAAATAAAAAAGTGTGAGTGTAATTAAAAAAAAAACATTGTGATACATATTAAAAGAAAATCAAAGGTGTATTATTCTATCATTTCAATCAATGTTTAAGATATTATTTGTAATTAACATAATATTTTAAAATTTCGCTCGTTCCTTCCAAATTTAAATACCACACACGCAGACACATTTTCCCTGATGCAGTGGACACATTTATAAATTTACACGTTATTATTCACTTATTACTTCTGTGCCTTAAAGTATGTTTAAATGGGACACTTCTCGATCAAATTCTACCCTAAAATATATTCTCTTTTCTTGAGAAATGATTATAAGTTATCCTTTATTTTTATTTTCTACTATTAATAGATGGACGTTAATAAAAAAGGAGTTTTGTTTTTATTAAACCAACCATTAAAAGTAAACTTGTTAGTGTAAAGATTATTCTCGTATAATATATATATGATTATTTTTTTCAAAAATTCACACGTGTGCGGGTCATGAACTTGATGTTAAAAACACAATAAATCTTTATAAACAATAAAACGAAAAATCTTAAAATATGTAGTAATAATAATAATTATAATAGGAAAAAATCATAACGAAAAGTATAAAAAATGTTTAAATTGACAAATTTATCCTCAGTAATAAAGGATGATAATAACCTCTTACATTGAATAAAATATAACAAAAAAACTTTAAAAAGTTTATAAATTCAGATTCTAAATGCAATAATTATACTTACTAAAAAAAATAATATAATAAATTATAAAAAGCTAATAAAAAATGACACTGAAATTTTTATTTATAAATAAAAAATAGTATCATTTAAAAAAATAAAATAAAATAAAATAGATAAAATATTTAATAAAAAAATTCAATATCATTATTTTTATTGCCAAAATTATAATTAAAATACTAAATAAAAATAAATTACTTAATTTGTAATTGAAAAAAAAATCCATGTAGTTCCGTATTTGGATGAGGCCATTGTGATCCCACCATGACACTAGGTTATTCTAAATCAATGGAAAACAACTACCTATTGATATGATTGAGAATAAATGCAACAAGCATAACTAGTTAAAAATCACAAGGCTCTACAACATAATAGTTAAAGTTTGTAAAGTTCAATTGTTGTTAGAAAAATATACACATCATCATTAGGAGTAAATATATGGTTTATAATTTATAAAATAACATTATCTTTTATCAAAATAACATATATTTAATTCTATTATATTTTTTATGTAGAGAGAAAAAAAGTAATATGATATTGCGTATTTAAAAAAATAAAAAAATGATAAATATAAAAAAAAACAATTAAACACATGTTTTTACTAATATATAACATAAATAGTCAATTTTATTTGATAAATTTAAATTAATATAAATTATAATTACATCAAATATAAAATCCAATAATTAGAAAGTTAAATTGAGTTTTTATTTAACCAATGCAATTTACAAATTTATTTCATCAAATCAAATATGTCTACAATTTAAAAAATATTAATGTACGCATTTGCAGGTAAAACTCGTAATAAATATTTAATTAATTTTTAAATCAATATTTTGACCGGTAAACATATATTTTTATTTATCTGTATAATATTAAAATTATTAAATTACATATCATGAAACATAATTTTTAGATTAAATAATATATTTATTAATAGATATTAAAAATGAAAAAGTATAAAAAATAGTCAAAATTGTAAATATAAGAATAGATAGACGTGATAAGAAGCTAGTATGTTAAAAAAAAAAATTTATTATCTCTTCTTTTAAAAAAAAAGTTTTAGTATGGTTATCGTTATGACGCCAAAAACAAGTTAAAAAAATTAAGATGAGACGTATTAATCTTTTATAATCAAGATAAATTATAAATTCTAATCTATAAATGATTTTTTTATATAATTTTTTAATATAATTTTTAAATATATTTTTAAGTATAGAAATAATTTTAAAATTTTATTTATTAATTAATATATTTATTAAAAAAATTAAAAAATTATGATATATATTCAAATAATTAATTATAATTAATAATTTAAAATTAATTAATTAATTTTTATAATTTAAATTATAATAAATTTCTATATTTTAATAATATAAAAAATATAATATTTGTAATTATTTTTAATATATAAATATTTTTCTTAAAACTGGTCAACTTATTATCTACCGTAAGATTAATATAATAGATAAGTCGGACAAAATGAGATCACGAATTAAAACTACAAATCTACCGTTTTATAAGCGGACCGACATATTAGTTGATTGAACCTATTCTATTTTGTTATCTTATTATCAACTATCTATAAAATTACATAAATAATATAATATTAAAGTTATTAAAAAAATTAAATTATATTAATAATATTTAAAAAAATTAAACTCTTTAAAATTAAATCTGGTCAAACACAAGATTGTTGAAGAGAAAAATATAATTGAATTTTATTTTATTTTAGTTTACTTATGTAGTTTACTCTTTTTTTAATTATGTTTAAAGAGAATCTTTTTATCCATGTTATTGAAATTAAATAAACTACTTTATGTTTAATACTTTTATTCATCAAAATAAAATAAAAATTCAAATACTTATGAATATCCCCAGGTTTTTTATAAACACATGGGTAGTTATAATAATGAATACTCATAAATTTGGAAGCCAACGTCATAATTTTTTTCTTGGTATAAAACGACAGTGGTGAAATGAACTGTTATTGAGTTTTTTAATTTCAAATGGTTTACTGTAATATTTAATGTGATATTAAAAATTAAAATTGTGTTTTATTTTAAAAATAGAAAGGTGACGTGACATTTAAATTTCTGGTTTTGGTAAGATCAATCAGAAAGACATTACTTTGTAAAATGTTTGTAAATAAAATGAGATGCATGAAATGTGAATCCAATATAATGTATATTTCCATATACAATTATGAAAAAAGAAAGTTCCAATAGATGGAGTGATAGAAAATTAGAGTTGTTTTATGAATATGATATTGTTTTAATGTATATTTATCACGTAATTATAACCTCTATAGGCTATGTTCAATTTATTATATACGTAATCATATTTAATTTGATTAGGTTAATTTATAATATTTTTTGAAAATATTTTGAAATTGATTATTAATAGGATTCACAACAGAATGGACCTGATTATGATAATTAAAAAGTATTATTGAAAAATTATTTTACTATTGTTATTTATTTTTTAAAATATCTAAATTAAAAACACTAAAATATAAGATTTGTAATTTTCTTTTTTAATATTGTGTCACGAGAATAAAAGAAAACATGCGATGTGATTGCGAGTTAAATAAAATTATTATATTTGTATGTAAATACTTCATCTCTTTTAAATGAATTTTGATTTGCTGATTTAAAGAAAGAAAAATATGGTCAATAATGAGTCTCAAAGGCGTGTGGACTTGGTTGGTCTCTGGCATAGGAAAACAAAGTCACAGTCTCTTTCATATTATGATCCCTTCATTAAGCGTATTCAAAAAATGTTATAAAAAAATGGACAGTTACTTTCACCAGATTTATATTAAAAAATATAAAAGTATTATATATATATATATATATATATATATATATATATATATATAACTACACAATTTGATAAATTTAATTAAATTTAAACTTAATTTCACAATTTAAAAAATAAAATCAATATACAAAATAAAGTTCTTTATAGCAAAAGAAATTAAAAACTTAAAATGATTGTATTTTGATTTGAGCATCAACTCTATCCTGTATACTTAGCTAGTTGAGATTAAACTGATATAAATTTTACAACTTTAATCAATGCCGCACAACAATAATAGTTCCACTTATGTTAAAGTAAAACATTATAATAACTATTAGAATATCGTTTGGAACTAAAATTTTTATGTTTATCATTTGTAAATGTGTAAAATGTTAATGTTTTTAAACTATGTTTGTTATTTAACAGTTTTAGCAACATAACAACATGATTCTCGGTTGAACAGCGTCAGCACTAAGCAGTCCAAACACAAGCAAATGCTTATGAATCTTTCTGATGTCTGGTAAATAAATAAATAAATAAATATAAAAAAAAAACAGCACAGAAACTAAAACACTATACACCCTGTTTCCTTCGCTTAATCCGCAACACAGAGTAATAACCCCTGTTTTCGTCCATTCCAAGGGCAATCAATTTTCACACAAACCCCATCAATTCTCTTCTTACCCGCCAAAACTCCAATAAAAATATCAAATTCAGGATATAAAAATAGAAATGAAAAGATTTTGAAGAGCCAAGGTCTTGAGGGGTGTTGTGTAGTGATTTCCTTGTTTGATGGCTCTTAACTGTGCTATTTTCAGCTTCAGGAGTGTGGCTTCTCACCCTCCAAGCTCTGCCAAGTTGAGTCAGCCCACTGCCAAGGCTTCCTCCTTTTCTTCCCCTCTTGCCCCACCAGTTGTAAAGTTAAATGTCAGAGGTAACTGAAAATTCTTGGTTTTTTATGCATGTTATGAAGATGAGCAACTGTTTTATGTTCTGTTTTAAACTTTGCAATGCTTATGCTTGTTGCAACTAGGGGAGGATGCAGTTTATGTTATCAATTTGAGTTGTGTGCATGTGAGATTTTGGGTGTCTTTGGATAATCAACTTAATTAAGAGCTTATTTAGTAAGCTTAGCTATGATAAGTTCTTAAGACAAAAAATTAATAGGTATGCGTTGTCAATGTGAAAGTCTTTTCACTATTAATCAATAGAAAATCATGCGCGTATGAATTTGACAATAAAAATCATCAAATTTGTTGTTTATTATTGGATGGTTGTTTAACAACATAAAAATGTCCTTAAAATAAGCTTGAAATGTTATAGGAGTTATAAATTATTTTCATAAGTGCAAACAAGCTTTGCAGAACCTCATTGAAAGGCCTCCTTAATTTAAAAGATTTTGTTGCTTCTTTCTTTAGTTTCCCTTCTGGGGTATCAAGTTATGAAATGAATTTATTTTCGCTTCTCAACTTTTCTTTGCTACAGGAAAGGCTTTTCCTGGTGATGGGACACCTGAAATAAAGGAATCACCTCTTGTGGTTTGTTTTGGGGAAATGCTCATTGATTTTGTCCCAACTGTCAGTGGCCTTTCTCTGGCTGAAGCACCTGCGTTTAAAAAGGCTCCGGGAGGTGCCCCTGCTAATGTTGCAGTAGGCATATCTCGATTAGGAGGTTCATCAGCTTTCATGGGAAAGGTATTCTACAAGTACTTCTGTAGGTTGTTTTTATACTTCTGATAGATGTAGGAAGCATCATATTTAATTGTGCAACTTTGGCACAGTGCCAAGATTGACTTTGCTTGCAAATGTCCTGGCATCTTATTCCTGTGCTGTCAAACTATTCGGGCTTGTTTTGTTAAACCCAGCATCTGTGTTTACATAATCAATTTTTATGAAAAAAAAAGATGATAAGGTTGACCATTGCGGTCCTTGAAATATTTATGGGATGTCAAATTAGTCCCTACAAGATTTGTGTCATTAGTTAGTCCCCCCATAATGAAAATTTCCACCACATAAGTTTCTGTTAGTCTCCAAAAGAAACACCACTAATGGATTCTGAAGTGAACTGTTATTGCTAATATGGCTTGTTGATGTCATCTAAGGATTATTGTGACACCACCACCTAGGCATTCACTCGGTGCGCATGTTGGCAAAATGGTATATGATGAGATGTCAAATTTTAAGGAATTATATTCTGACAGGTAAATCTTTGAGTGGCAAAAACAGGGGTTAACCTTTTTTTGGACACAATACTAATCTAAAGTACCAGGGCAGTTGTGAAAGGTTTTGTGCATTCGCAGTCTCTTTGGGTGGCTCGCAGGCTCTATACTTTTAGGGATTTGGTCTCTATCATAGACATGTGTGGGTTTGGATGGTTTACAGGCTTATTTTTTCATGGAAAAGCTTGAAAAGCGGTATGCGGTGATACCACATTGTGGAATGGTGTCCTAAGCAAGTGGTTGGTAGTTAATGTTTCCAGGGGATTTGATGTTGACTTTTGGTTCTTGATTTGCTGGTTTCGTTAACGTAGGGGTGGAAATTCTTTAGATGTTGCTATGGGCAATGTATTTCAAGGGAGGCAGTTTTGGCTTTTCTATTTTGTATGATATGCTGGCGGTATGGGTTTATTGATTGATTGGTAGGTACTATGTTGATGTTAGAGTTGAAGGATGTGTTTGTTTGAAACATGTTAGGTTGACTTTGTTCTCGGGAATTACGCGCAATGTGTTCTCTGTTGGGGAAGAAGTTTATTTGGAAGTTTGTTGTTTGTCATTGTTGGAATCTAGGTTGTTGAGAACATTCTGGATTTGCTAGTTAGTGATTCTCAGCAGTTCACTTAGTTTAAGACTCACTATTCAAAGAGGTTTGTGTGTCTGTTTGTAACGAACACAAACCAATGCTGCGCAGGCAAAAGCATTGCAATGTGGATGCTTAGGTGGCATTTAATGAACCACATCAGCACTTAACTAGCCACATTAATGGTGTTTCTAACTTAGGCCGACCAAAGGACTAATCTGATGATCTTTTCCATCATTATGGGTTTAAACTCATGATACAAATCTCTCAAAGAATAATTTAATGCCCCATGAATCTTTCAAGACTGAAAATGGAGGCTAACTTGATTTATCAAATACTGATCTGAAACTGGGTTGTTTCTTAATCTTGTGAACCATGGATATAGTCTCTATTGCGATGAAATCTCCTTCAGCCTTAGATCAGTGATAGTTTGCACACAATACTAGTTAGTTATACTTTGCGGTATTTGTACAATCTGAGATGTTTTGCCTAAAACCAATCCCTATCTAAACAGAATACCCTAAGGATCTCTTCCTATATATTTATAACGTGTCTTTGCCAGATTCTGTTAGAATTCTAACAAAAATCACCTACTAACTCTAACTCCCTTAACTGCTAGAAACCAACCATTTATAAGTCAAAAAGATGTAAAACGAAGGTGTTTGTTTGTGAAGCAGAATTTTTGAAGTAGAAAATTGTAATCTCTTCATAAATCAATCAACAATAATATTTATAGTACTTAGAATCATCTACGTCTATCAAATTTCTCAATGTTTTGCTGACTTTACTAACCCACCCCTTCTTCTGTCTCTTGTGTTGAGTATGGTTCCCAGAAATTAAACCTAAATTGTTATGACAGTTGGTGTTTTATGCCCTTTCTTGCTGATTGTGTAGTTCCATGTTACAAGATTTTCCTAATAATTATTAGAATTATGTCCATAATTGTGTTATTGCTACTAATTTTCAATTGTGTTTCTTACTATGTAATTTTTCCAGCTGTTTGGTATGAAAGTCAAATTAGAATCTGATATAAAGATAAATAAAATCTAATTTGAATAGTAATTTTTTTTCTTATAAATTAGGGATCCGGGTCCTCTCCAATGGTCCTGTCTCTTATATTCAAAGGCTATTAAACTTAAGAGCATAAAAAAAATTAAATATACAAATCTCTCTCAGGTTAATATATTGATGTAGGAGCTGCAGAGCTGGAGAGGATCCAAACTTATGAATTAGAAGTCATTGTTAAAATGTCTTTTCTAAATTCAAGATCTTCAAGATTTTTTTTTTGCAACGTGAACAGGTTGGTGAAGATGAATTTGGATATATGCTTGCTGATATACTAAGGGAAAATAATGTAAACAGTGAAGGAATACGTTTTGACCCTGGTGCACGTACTGCCTTAGCATTTGTTACATTGAGGAGTGATGGAGAGCGAGAATTCATGTTTTACCGTAATCCCAGTGCTGATATGCTGCTCCAAGAAGATGAACTTGATTTGGACCTAATCAGAAAGGTAAAACGAAAAGCAGAAATTGTGGTAGTCAACTATAGCAAAATGTATGCTATAATCCCTGAGTCGAATCAAAGGGAAATCAAACCTCCATTGAGTATGTTACTCAACATTCTTTCTGTAACACTTTTCTCAAGTAATATTTGTTCAGTTACTCAAGTTCACTTCTTTCAACCAATACTTGGGTAATTTATTTATTTACTAGGATATCATTGGATGAATTTCTCTATAAGAACTTCTCGAAGAAGAAAATAGGAAGGAAAAATGAAAGTCTCTCCATATGTTAAAATTAATTTATGCATATGCTAATTTATAGAAGCTCTTTTATATTAATTTCTTCAAAGTCAGATTTTTAACCTTATGAAGAAGATTGTTTCATTTTTTTTCTTTTTATTTTCATTTCCTGGAAGTGTTTGTAGCAAAGTTTGCCCAAACAGGCCATAACTGTGTGAGGATCTAAACCATCATTTTGATTGCTCAATTTCTCGGTAGCATTATTGTTTCTGTATTTTAGCCCTTTTAGATTTCTTTAATATCAGGTAAAACATCAAAATCATTGCCAAGTCTATGTTCCAGTTTTTAATATTTTCTGCTTTGACTCTGCTTAACTTGTAAATTCTAGTAATATTGTTGTTATTTCATGCTGGCAGGCCAAGATATTCCATTATGGTTCTATAAGTCTTATAACAGAGCCATGCAAATCAGCACACATAGCTGCAGCAAAGACTGCAAAAGATGCTGGTGTAGTTCTGTCTTATGACCCTAACCTGAGGCTTCCTTTATGGCCTTCTGAAGATAGTGCAAGAGAAGGAATTCTGAGTATATGGGAGACTGCAGATATCATAAAGGTAGAATATATATTGATTATATTCTTTAGCAGTATACTTTTCTTGATCCCTTTTTCTGGAGTGTGGAATGTAAAATAACAGAAAACAATGCCATCTCTGGCAACCAATCTGATAACTATTCAGGTAAGCGAAGAAGAGATTTCTTTTCTTACAAAAGGTGAGGACCCATATGATGATGCTGTTGTACGTAAACTATTCCACAAAAACCTCAAGCTACTCCTAGTTACTGAAGGTGCAGAAGGTTGTAGATATTACACCAAGGTAAGCCTTCCAACATGCTATTTTCCGAAATTCATTTCAACACCTGCTAATATTTTTTTATGGTCAGCATTTGGGGATATCACATACAGTAGTGTTTACTAATTAAACACTTGTTGCATAAACTATACCCTCCCTCATATTCCAGTCAGATTAAGAATTAAAACAGGTTATTTGTAGAACAATAAAGGTACAAATCATACTGCAGTGTTTTTGTCATTTAGAAAAATGAATCGAACAACTCTTCTGCAGACAGAACGAATACTTCCTCTGTGTACATAGGATGTCCTTTTATCCCTTGAAGCTAAAGTTAAGGCAAAACATCTTGTGGGATTTAAACCAGCACCAAGTTTCCCACGAAGAGACTTGGAGCCCCTTGAGCCAAGTTTCTTAATTTTAGCCAATTTGTCAAAGTGGAACGGTAATGAAAAAAATATGTAATAAATAAACCTTCACTATGTCCTTGTTGAAATTCTTTTGCATACAATAGTTTGAACTGAATATTGTTGAAAACTGTTGAATATAGTGAAAAACTAGATATAGGGTTAATTTCCCTTGTGTCTAAAATACACATAGGGTAATATATTTATAATTAAAAGTTATACAAGTAAACATGGAAAATACATATATTGTGATTAATAATATCTAAAATATCTAATACTCCCCCTCGTAAGACATGGTGAAAATATGTGTTAATCGTTTACTTGAGTTAACAAGTTCGGTCTTAATGTCTCCCTCCAGACACAATCTTTTCTCGAATAAAATAACAGTCAACTTCAATGTGTTTGGTCTTTTCATGAAAGACAGGATTATAGCTAATATGAAGAGCAGTCTGATTGTCACATATAAGTGTCATTTGAGTGACATCTCCAAATTACAACTCTTTAAGTAATTGTTTAAGCCAACCAAGTTCACAAGTGGCTGAGGCCATAACTCTATATTCTATATTCTGCTTCTGCACTAGATTTTGCCACAACACTTTGTTTCTTGCTCTTTCAAGAGATCAAGTTACCTCCAATAGAAACATAATATCCGGAAGTAGATCTTCTATCAGCAGGAGATTCTGCCTAGGTAGCATCTGAATAACAAACAACTTTAGCCTGGTTATTGTGATCATATAACAAACTTTTTCCAAGAGATCCTTTAATGTGCTTTAATATACGAATGTCTGCATTCCAATGATTTGTACATGGAGAATTAAGAAATTGACTCACCACACTAACTGCAAAGGAAATGGGCAGGACGATTAACAGTAAGATAGTTTAATTTTTTAATTAATCTTCTGTACTTCTCAGGATCTGAGAGAGACTCCTCCTGATAAGGTACGAGTTTGGTATTGGGATTCATGGGTGTATCAACAGATTTTGAGTTTACCAATCCAATTTCTCTGAGAACGATTTTTTATTAAAAACAACCAAGTATTCTAGAATACTCATCAATAAAGATAACAAAATACTGAAAACCTAACACCTAAATTAGACTTAACACGACTGGGTCCCCAAATGTCAGAGTGAACTATTGGAAAGGGGGATAAAGGATGTTGTGAGACATTACAAGGAAATTAACTACAATTATATTTTCCTAATTGACATGACTCACGTAAAAACTAGATAAATTAGACAAACTGGGAACAAGTTAGTGCAAGTTGGCAAGATTGGGGTGACCTAGCTGAGCAGATGGGGACTCCATAACTGTGTCAACATGTGTAGAAGGGCAGAAATAATAAAGATCAGGAGACTCACATTTGGTGTCAATCATCTGTCTCGAAATATGGTCTTGTAAACAAACAAAATCTTTGGTAAATAAAAAATAATACAATCAAGAGAACAGGTTAGAGGACTAATGGGTAATAAGTTAAAGTGAGACTCAGGGACATAAAAAACATTATAAATGAATAAAGATAGACAAATTTTAACAATACCAACACCATAAGACAAAATCCTAGACCCATTAGTCATTATAATCGAAGGTAAATTATCCGGAGAGGATAAATAAGAACACAAAGATTTGTTCCTAGTAATATGATTTGTGATGCCTGAGTCAAGAAATCAAGGTCTAAGAGGAGGAGATTGAGTTAGGCCAACAAAAGATGTACATGTGTGTACAACAAATGTAGTGGAATTAGAGTTCTGACGATCCTCGTACCATTTGAAAAATTCATTGAAAATAGCACATTTGTCTGTGGTATAAGATGAAGTAGGATCCACAATAGATGTGAGGGAGGATCAGTTTGGACAACTATAGCAGATCAAAGAGGACCACCATGTAATGCATAACACTTGTCAATCTTATGACCTAGTTTGTGACATGATCGCACTTGTGATGCTCTTTTCCTGACTTACGAGAGCGATTGTGATTATCACGTTGAGACACAAAGCAGAGGAATCATCGACAGAAACAAATATATCAATTATGTGTTTACTTGACACACGTAAAAAAGTGGACAAGTAGAAGTGAAATTAGGCACAATAGAAGAACCCAAAATCTGATCACGAACAGGAGAATATTCATCAGCAAGCTCATATAATGCCAACAACATGAAGAACTTTAACCTTTGCTCTAGTTCTTGGGCAGGAGTAGAGACAAGAGGTAATAACTCATTAAAGTCACGAAGAAGAGTATGAATTTTACCCAAATATTTAGCCATTGAGTCATGACTTCGAGGAGCAACAACAGTGAGAAGATGGTGACAAACCCCATAAAGACGTTTGAGTGTCATTGGTGGCAGAAGAAGAGATATCGAAAGCGGCAGTGAAAGAAGTCATGGAGGAAGAGAGAGAAAAAAAAACCTAAAAGCTTTAAATGGCGCGTGAAGACTTTGATTGCGACGATCTCAATGTTGCAGTGGTCGCCTAGTTGAGACGAGCAAAACGGTGTAGTCGCCGATTTGAATTGAACTCCAGCGGTGGCGGTGATGACTCCAATGACGGAGACAAAAAAGAGAACTTAAGCTCTAGATACCATGTTAAATATAATGAAAAATTAGATATAGAATTAATTTTCCTAAAATACACATAGGGTAATATATTTATAATTAAGAGTAATATAAGTAAATATAGAAAATGCATATACTTTGATTAATAATATCTAAAATATCTAACAAAAATAACACAAGGGATATTTACTTGTTAGTCTATCCGCACTGTTTGACATCAATATCCTCTTTTGAAAATTAATTTTAAAAGACAACCAAAAAAAGTATTGGAAAAGTTATTAGTTATAAATTCTAATAGCATTTTTTATGCTTATTATCGTGTATTGTTGATAATTATAATTTGAAACCTGTCCTATTATTTCTTTGCAGGAATTCAGTGGCAGGGTGAAGGGATTGAAGGTGGATGCTGTTGATACCACCGGTGCTGGTGATGCTTTTGTGGCTGGAATATTATCACAATTAGCTGTGAATCTTTCATTACTTCAGGTGAGCAAAATGTATTTGCTTTTGTTATTAACCATCCCAAAAGTTTACATCACTCAACTACAGAAAATCTTGTAGTACGGAACACATTATTGTTTAAATTATTAAAAGAAATCTCATTTTAAATTCTTAATACTGCAATTTTATGCCTGTAAGTCAATGTAAAACACAGAAGAACTGAAAATTGGCTTGATTAAAAGATTAAGTTGACATTTTTTTTTAAATTAAAAAACCTAATTCATCAATTTTAAAATATAAAAGTCAAAACCAAATATACTTTTCTTCAAATAATCACCCTACATGGCCGCCCACAAGTGAGGTAAGGCTGAAGAGTTTAATCGAAATGTGCTAACAACATAATAAATTTTACGATGTTATTTAAATATAGATTATCATGTATGGTGAAATTGAGAACTTTTGTGATCTACGATTGCAGAAAGAGGAAGAGTTGAGAGATTCTCTCAAGTTTGCTAATGTCTGTGGTGCATTGACTGTGACTGAGAGAGGTGCAATTCCAGCTTTGCCCACCAAGGAAGCTGTTCTTAATGCTATGCTAAAGCCTGTTTCCTAACTTTGCAGCCACTCTCTAAAGTTATTTAAGTCAGGGAGGATAATTTTTTTTGGAGGGGGTAATTTAAATTCTTGGAAATTTGTGAGCTACTGCCATAAATAAGAACTAGTCATTTAGTTCAAGTTCATGATTGGGTGGGTAATGGAGAATCTTTCTCCATAATATGTACTTGATCTATGACCTTAGAAATTGCTATGTAATTCGTGATATTTTATTAAATTTATTTGAAGTATAAAAAGGAATTTGTACTTGAAAAAATATTTAATACACAATTTAAGTAATTTTTTATCAAATTTATAAATAAGACATTACCAACCTCCATTCATGTCCCAAACATTTTCAACCATAAACAAGAATAGTAACAAACGGTTGCAAACCAGGACCAAGTCTCATGATCATTGCCAAATAGGACACGAACCCCGACATCAAAGGGTGCCTCCTCCTCTTTAAGAACCGAGTTCCAAACCCTTTGACCAATCTCCAATTTCAGTGCAACCCCTCGAAGCCAAACAAACCAGAAGGAACTCATTCATCGACACAACACATTATTATCATTTATTATTCTTTCATTTCTCTTCTTTCTTTCTATCTGTCTAACCACAATGGCTGATGATCCTCAAGACGTTGCTGACAGAGAGCGCCTTTTCAAGCGTTTTGATGCGAACGGTGATGGCAGAATCTCTGCAGCTGAGCTCGGGGAAGCACTGAAGGCACTTGGATCAGTAACACCAGAAGAGGTGCAAAGGATGATGGAAGAGATTGACACTGATGGAGATGGCTACATTTCACACGAAGAGTTCACAGAATTTGCTATAGCCAACCGTGGCCTAGTGAAAGATGTTGCAAAGATTTTTTAACTTTATTTATTAACTACCACCCTTTTGTAATTAATTAATTAATTCAATTTCATTCTTCTATTCTATGTTGTCAGCAATGGGAAGAGCAAACAACTATTGAGTATTGCGCATGTTTTCTAACTTTATATGTTGATGGTCATCACAATCTTGGAAAAATTATGTGTGATCATAATTCAGTTACCATTCGCATAAATGATTTTTGTTTTTATCACAAAGTTAAATTTTCTTTATTATATTATATTTTATTTAATATAATAATTATTTTAATATAATCTTGATTATAATTGATGGAGAGAGGCAGAGGTCTTCTAAAACTTGTTTGTTCTAGGGCATCGAGAAAGAATCCAAAAATTCCCATGGATAAACAGATAACAATAAATTTTCCTACACAGATATAACCTCATCCAGAAAAAAAAAAATTTAAAATAGTTTACCCATAGAAATATTTGTATACTCAAGAAAATATAATACACTTTACTCCTTGGGTAAGGGAGAGAGATAATGGGAAGAAATGTACAAACAAGCAATGTTCCTCTGAGCTTCTATTTCTACCAACTACATGGAAACATTCACATCTAGTCCCTGCACTATGGCGAGAATCATGGCAAAAACAATTCTCAACGATCATAGAGAAAATCCTCATCCTCACACTCTGGAACTCCTAGCATTGCCAAGGCCAGGTGACTTTTCATCTCATTATTTGTTTGTTGTAACTGAGGGTAATAATCAATCAGAAATCCATTACCAAGATAACCAGACTTCCTTCTTCTAGACAACACAGGCTCAACTTCACCTTTCAGTATTGCAACAATCTCACCTATGCTAGGCCTCCTAGATTCTTCATTTGTAACACAGGCAGCTGCTGCATCGACCATCCGAGCCATTTGATCTGTGTAGCTCGAATTGTACTTGACTTGAGGATCAAGCAAGTCTTCAATGGCTCCTTTCCCTTTCCTAAGCAAAGGTTTTGCCTGGAAATGAATGTCACGGATAAAAGCAAGATGAATCTTTTGTAATTACAAGTGAAAACAAAGATAAAACCAAAAATGATTGGTTAAACCAAACAGTTCTACTTGTCGTATTTTGCAGCTAGATTAGGCAATTTTATTGTAGAACCAGATAAAGTGACAGATTTTCTATTTTATTCACTTAGTTCTAGTCTTGTTGAAGTTAGAAATGTAAAAGTCATGAGTTATATCATTGCTTTGTTCATTCATTATTGGCTTAATTGATAGGAGTAGTTGATGCTCAGGGCGGTTGGATTATATAAAATTACAAGCCATGACATAACATTTGATCATTAACTCACCCATACTACCAAGTTTTCCTCTCCAGGGGGTCTTTTCGCTTCAATTGGCTTACGGCCAGTTAAGAGTTCCAATAAAACAACTCCTAAAGCGTAAACATCAGTCTTATCTGATACTCTCCCATGTTGGAAATACTCAGGAGCCAAATAACTGTCGAGAAAGAGAAGATAGAATACTTTATTTGAATTATCAAAATATGAAAACAAAAAAAAAAAGCAAAAAGCCAACCACTTCCACACAAAAATTGCTAAATCAATATAAAGGAGTTAAGTTCATACCCAAATGTTCCTTTCACAGTTTTGCAAAGGAATGGAACTGATGGGGCAGAAGTCCATGTAGCTAATCCAAAATCACATAACTGAAATTTAAATCAGAATGACTTGTAAAGGCTTCTTTATGATACAATTTCCACTGTATACAGTATACTATAATTTATCAGCAAAAGGGAATCTTACCTTTGGAATCTTCTTAGAGGAGAGCAGAATGTTTGAAGGCTTAATGTCTCTATGAACAACACATCTCTCTGTTCCATTATGCAGATAAGCCACGGCTTCTGCAATCCGAATTGCTACTTTATATCTCACAGACCATGGAAGTGATGAACTACCCTTTACACTTTTCTTCCTCCCTATAAAAAAGGTCATCTATAATCAGTGAAAATCATCAAATTCAATGGAAAATGCTATATAGCTAGCATCAGATGTCAAGCAAAATCAGAGAAGATGAGTACCATGCAAGTGATGCTCTAGGCTGCCCCCTGACACATACTTGTATACCAAAAACAAACCCTCTTCTGAGTCAATACAAAACCCCACAAGAGGAACAACATTTGTGTTATGAAGAGAATTAGCAATCATCAATTCTCTACAAAACGCCTTGGCACACTCCTTGTCTTCCTTGTCCAACCTTTTAATAGCAACAGCAGTCCTCCAAAGCCCAACTCTTCCTCTAAAAACACAGCTCAAGGCACCTCTCCCCAACACTCTCTCTGTCCGCAACAAAACAAAGAATCACAACCTCACACAAAGGAATCAAATTCAATTCCATCAACAGAATATTCACATACAATTTACCTTTGGAGAAATTGTGAGTAGCTGATAGAATTTCATCATAGCTGAACCTGATCAAAGTGTTGGCGACTGGAGATATGCTTTTCTCCAGTGAATGTATCCTCCATTTCATCTCCGTAACTTGAGACTCATATTCCAAATTCACCATCAAAAAGGTTGCAGCAGCAGCAGAAGAGCTCATGTTGAAGGACTCAACCTCAACCTGAGAGCAGAAGCTGAACCTGAAAGATGAGTGAACCGACTGAGGGTCAGCACTTGCCAATTCTGCTCCAGACTCCTCCAGTAGCCACGCCTTGTTATGCACTTCGTTGTTGCAACCACAAGGACCAACACCAACACATGCCAAGGCAAAGTCCCACATGGTTTTTTTCAAAAAGGTCATGAGTTGGTGCCTCCTGTACTCAAAAGAGTCATTTCCTACTGCAGGGGAAACATGTGCATTGGAAACACCCCTGGTGTGATCAGAACAGAAGCTCATCACGAAGTAGAGAGAACAAGAGTGTCAGAGAAAAAAGATGAGGAAGAAAAGTGGGAAGAAGCTTCTTTGCTTGTTGGATTGGAGCATATTTTTTTCTCAACTGCACAGAAAAGAGGAGAGAAAGATGGGAAGTTGGTGGGGCTGTCTTTGAATAATTGAAATTGGATTGATGTGAGGTGCCATCAAAGTGAAAGAAGATTAAGAAAAGTTGGGTGTCATCATGGGTGAGGGTGAGAGTGTGGTGAAGATGACACCACCTTTTAAGTTATAAGTTATGGCAAAATGATTTAATATAGAGGGAAGAGAGAGCATGAATTGATGGTGAGAATTGAGAAAGAGAATCATATGGTTTTAAGACTGAAGGTGACAGAAGGTAGAACACAGACCAGGGAACATTTTCAGCATAATTTAGTTGGTAAGTAGGTGGGGACTCATGAATAAAAAAAACATACATATAAAAATGAGGAGAAACCACTAATAATGTAAAGATTCCAAATATGCATGCACGTAGAAAGTCAAATATATTATAAAACATGAAATATTTGTAATTAGTTTAAAATGTAATAAATAATACGATAATATGAGAAGAATAAGGATGAAATAGAAGAGAAGTTGAGTTTATGATAGTAATAATAATAATAATAGAAATATTTCTATTGGTTATTCTTAAGTAATTATCTGAGGCTTTGAAAGAGAGAGAAGGGTGGTTTTTTTTTATAAGATGTGGCAGAGGATGCTATGAGGCATTAAATTAATAGCGGTGGTGCAGAATTGGAAGATAGAGTTCAGTTTTTATTCGTCATCTTGGCTAAACAAGAAAAATATGATGCAAGGTCTTTCAATAGCAAAATATGAATGCTTATGTAACGCCTTAACACAGATTTTGAGTTCTTTAAAAGGGAACGTGAAAGGAAAATTAAATTTCAGTACTTTTATTTTTATTTTTACTCTAAAGTTACGTGAAACAAAATTATGATGAGAGGGTCGTAAGAAGATTAAATCCAGCAAAATCAATATCAAATATTCGATTGGCTTTGCAGTTTGGTGAGCATAGAACCAATTCCTAGTATGTGTATATATATTTTTATTTTTTATTTTTTCTCTTAATTATAAAAATGATTGTATAGTTTGTTGTCCAAATAAATTTTCTGATAACAAAACATAATTAGATGCTATCCTTTTTGCATAAAGTAGGTTAAAAATGGTAGATGCTCCCAAATCTTTGTTTGCGGTTAAGAGACTAAGTCTATCATGACACATGGAGTGCGATTCCGTATCCTAATGTACCCTACAAACCATACATATCTACATTATCCTCCATTTATCTCTAACCATTATTTTTTTTGTTCAAATATTTCTTAGTTCATAGTTTTTTTTTTTTTACTTCTTAGCTAAATTTCTTAGCTAAATAGAAGGGGGCATAATTAAGGTGATGTATATTTAATTTTATATTATTTTATTTATGAATATGCTTAGTTTTTTTTATAGTTATAATATATATAGGTCCAAAGTGAATTTAAATTATATATGGTTAAAAATATGATCAGTGTAAAGATGTATATGATATAAATATAAATCTTTAATATATATATATATATTATTTATTATTAGTGTAATAAATATATATCTTTAATATAAGTGTTGTTTTTTTAAAATCTCTTAAATATGTCACTTGAACAATTATTATGAAGTAATTCATAATGTAATATATGTAAAAACATGTTATTAGATAATTAATAAGTAGTGTCAGAACATAAATTTGAAATTTTTAAATACTATAAATACCAAAAACATATTTACTAATTAAAAATTGAAAAAAAAATGAGGAAAGAAGACCCTCGTGAAGTCATTAAATGACTCGTGAAGTTATTAAATGGCTTGTGAAGTCATTGAAGAAATTTCAATTTTTACAAAATATATACTTCTTCTTGTATTAAGTATAAATGTTTATTTTTTCATTTTAAAATAAAAATCAGTAAAATATTAAATTAATTCACACAAATACAAAATACAAAATGATCACGGTGACAGAGGGTTGAAAATTTGCTTCTGCCAATGTATCTTGTAGTGGTGTATGGAATACCCATTAATCACTAACCACGCTTTTGAAAAATGATTATAAATGATTTTGACACCATTTATTTAAAAATTAAAAGTATTAATTAGTATTTTTCTGTTTATTGATCGATTTCAATATATCATGTACACATACGTTGCTATTATTGTAGTACTATATTTTTATAAATTCGTAATTTTTATGAATGGCAAGAATTTTTTATTTTATTTTTTGGTGTAAGAATATAAAACTTTAACTCAATTAAATTAATACTAAACTGAACTATATTACATTAAAAAAAGGTTAATTTATTTTTTAGAAAACTTAATGTCATTAGAGAGCTTGAATATAATGTATTTACACATAGGATTAAAAATTATTTATTATTTATTGAATTGGTGAATATTTCAAATTATGTAGATATACTCGAGTGATTATGCAATTAATGAAGTGTTTTTATTTAAGCAAACAATTAATGATAAGACACAAGATGTATTAACAATTAATGAAGTTTGTTAGGCATTCAAACAATTAATGAAGTTTGTGATGCAAATCAGAAATAGAGGTTGGGCTTTAAGAATTGGACCCAACCCTGGTGAGATATTTTATTTATGTGAACGTTGATAAGTGTCTTAAGGACACTGGTTAAGAAATTAATTCCCCAAGACAATAGTTAAAAATTTCCTTCAACTTTGTAGGATTAGACTCCATTATAGAAAAAAAATATATATTTGATGGATGAAGAAGCATTAATTGCAAGCAGTGGAAAAGCTATTCATAGCAATATCTAATATATTACATCACAAATCTTAATTATGTAACAGTAAATATTAACTTTTATTTATGGTATAATATATTTCTAAAAAAATTATAGGCTTTTTCATTTGATAACAGTTTCTGTATAATAAATTAAATAACTTTATAAATAACCTGTATAAAAATATTAAAATATTAATAATATCATTAATGTGAGCGTGCCGGAGTGGTTATCGGGCATGACTAGAAATCATCTGGGCTTTGCCCGCGCAGGTTCGAATCCTGCCGCTCACGTATTACGCTATTTATTTTTTAAATATCTGAAATTATATATGACAGATATCCAACCAGATTAACAATTCGAATGTTAAGTTTTTCTTTTTATTATATAATTTTATTATTATTTTGATTAATAATATAATAATGTTATTAAAATTTTACTTCCTAATACGACTTTCTTAAATTGTAATTTTTTAAAAATTTATACCATTTAAAAAAAAATTACACAATTTCCATGAAAAAGCCTAATATCATTGGTTGAGGGTAAATGTTTATTTCAAGCAACAAATATATAGATAGATCATAGGAGTTGATTTTAAAAAAGTATTAGTTCTTTATTTAAATATTTAAAATTATCTTATAAATAATTATCTTATAATTGGAATTAGTATCATAATTATCTTATAAATAAATAAAAAACTCTAATAAAGATAGAGTGGGAGAAGAAATAATAAATAGAACATTCTTTAATAATATTAATTATGTTACATAAATTTTAAATCCGCGCTTCTTAATGTAACAGACAATTTTACTGGTATTGTTACTAAATTTTCATACTTGGATGTAAAACTTTGTATTTTAATTTAAAAAATATTATCATATTTTTTATTGGATAATTATTAATCAAATGAAAAAAAAACTAATGTTGGATAATTATTAATACATACAAATGATTTTCTCTCCATTTTACAAGAACTTATATAATTATTTTTCTCAAAAATTATATTTTTAATGATATGTCATTAATTTGAAAAAAATATAAGACTATCCTATTAAGCTAAATTATTTATAATATTTGTTGCTTTCACTTGTAATAAATAATTAGAGTACAATTGGAGAGTATTTTTTTCATAAATGTTTGTAAGAGTTTTTTTTTTAAATGGTTATAAATGTGCAATTTTGTTCTTTATAAAATTTAATTACACATTTGATCTTTCAGTTTTTTTTTTAAATTAACCAAATTTAATTATCTATTAATAAGATATCTAAGTTTTTTTAAAAAAAGTTTAATATGTATGTAAGTAGAAATAATATTAGATAATTATTATGTAAGATACTAATAACAATATTTAATGATAAGTTTTGACACATATAATCACATAAAAGCAAATTAGTTGGTTTTTTAATAAGGAGATAATATATTAAGGTTGGATAAAAAAGATTTAATATTAAAAATTAGAAAATAATTGAATTTTTATTGGATTAAATTATGAGATAATAAAAAATGAAAAATAAAAATAAATTAAAACTAGTTTATATATAAATTAATTTGTAAAATCTCTTTTAAGTAAAACAAATTAATTTTTTTCCAAAACTTAAGCAGTTACTTTTACTTTATAAAATAATTTATTTTATTTTTTATTAAAAATACTTGATTTAATGAATAAATTAAACTCATCTTGATTAAACGAAAAGAAAACAAGTCATCGTAGGACGTCGTAAGATATATAGTACATTCAAAGATCAACATATGAAATACAAAAATAAAATAAATATGATAGTCTAATAAACATAATAAACTCAGTCAATTCAAGTAAAATAAAGTGTAATAATATTTTATAAAATAAATTAGGTATATTTTTTTTATAAAATTAATTTATACTAAAATTTAGACATATTTTGTATAATATAATTAATGATATATTTAGTCTTTCAACTTAGAGCATTCATTATTCAGTTTATACACGTCACAATCAATAAATAAGACATCACTTCTCTTCTCAAGTTCTTACCCTTCTTTTCCCTCTCCCAGAATTTAATCTGAATGTTGCTGCTTCTTTATAAACCCTAGATAGATAAATTCCTCCTTCCTTCACCCATGACTACCACTTCTTCCGGCTCTGGACCTCCTTCTCTACCTTCGGTTCCTGTTCCGGTTACTTTTCACTCTCCTGGTAAGTCCTTCATTTCTTCAACCTAACATGAAACCTTATTGTGTTCTACTACTGCATGTTTGAGACTATTTGAGATTTTTTTAAATTGATTTTGGAAAATGTTAAAGCTTATGGATGTTTGGAGATTTTGTTACATATAACACTTTCATGAAAATAATTGTTGCTGTTGGAGTCCCTGAGATTTTTGTCGTTTCTCTTAAAATAATTTGAATTAGGACTACAGTGTACAAGATTTTTGACTCACTGTATTGTGACCACAGCTGAATCATAAATGTAGTTGTGGTTGCATCAGGTGTATTTTATTGTGATGAAACAATGACTGCAACCACAATTTATAACCATCAGGTGTATTTAGACAAGTTTCTCCATGGACCCTTGTAAAGAAGAAAAATAAGTAGAAAAAATAAAATTAATTTCTTCATAAATTAATATGAGTTTATGTGCAATCATCACACTTTTTCTTTTGTTGGCTTTCTTTTAGTATGCATCTATGTTAAATGCATAAAGAGATCTCCCATGATGACCTGAATTGTCCTCATGAAAACTTTCAGGACCCTTGATGTACAAGAATCGTTTGCAAGAGTTTACATCAAGGTCTGGCATTGCAATTCCTGTGTATCAAACTGTTAATGAGGGACAGGCACATATTCCGAAGTTTAGGTCAACTGTATGGGTGGCTGGGACTAGTTACACTTCTCAATCCACATTTCCGCAGAAAAAAGCTGCTGAACAAGAAGTAGCTAGACTTGCCCTGGAAACTATCCTTCAGAGGACCAGAAATGAAGGACCATCTCTTGTCAGTGAGGTGTGATTTAACACAATTTCTTGTCAGTTTCTTCAGTATACACAATACATGTATAGGAATTGCTAAATAATTTTGAGCTAATATTTGTTAATAATACCTTTCAACAGCTTAGACAACTAACTCTGCTATATGTTAGGCCTATTTCATGCTTACTCTGCATCTTCCTGACAAACATCCTAATGCTTTGTAGTCATTAGAGGATTTTGTTTCAGTTATGTGAAAATGTCTGCTATCTTCCCTCAGAGTTAGATGTAATGTAGTTTCTCTTGTTTTTTTCTTACTACATATAGTTGTCTATCAAATAAAATAAGTTGTCTGGTAACCTTTGATATCTTTCACAACCTGTCATTTTCAGTTAGTGTACGTATATATTAAGATATTTTCTTGTCCATTTTGTTGAATATATTTTCTATATAAATTAAGTGTTGTTCTGCATGTAATAATTTTACTGGATATACATATCTGACGATGAAAAATCTTAGTTGGAAATCATCATGTGACATGTCACATAGGCTCTTAGTTTTCAGCAGATAAGATAACATTATCAGATAATCATTGAAGTTTGATAGTATTGTGATAAATAATAACTGTTGTCAATGGAGCTAAAGTTTAACTCCTTATCTTACTTTGTTAATGGTTTGAAACTAATCCAGTATACTTTGAATTAATCATTCCTATATCTCTGTCTTGAAAAAATTGCTTTCATATCAAGTGCTTATTACTGTTGAAACAATTCATTGCAGACTTAAAAGTAAATTTGCTGGTGAAATAACATTGATCTTAATTATGCATTCATACTTTAATTAAGATTTGGTATTGTCTCATTTTGGTTTTGGTTTGGTATTATTATTCAATTTTTTTTTTCTTCTTCTTTATTGTTACTATTTTTATTCATCATCTTTCAGATTTCTCCCTTTTGCAAGTCTATCATAAATGAATATGCTGCTAAACTGTATATAGAAAGACCTACGTACAACACTGTTCAGAACCGACTAGGAGGGATGCTTCCTGTTTTTACAACATCTTTAGTTTTCAATGGTACAAGTTACACTGGTTATGCAGCTAGAACCAAAAAGGAAGCTGAGCAGTCAGCAGCACAGGCTGCCATTCTTTCAATTATGGGTATCGTTTTGTGTATGTTTGATTAGAACATCTTCCAAGGGAGTTACTAATAAGAGTTGCTTAAGAATAAAAATGAATATTTTATTATGAGTCCTATATCTAAATTGTTTAAAAGTGAAGAAAGGGTTTGAAATTGGAAAAAAGTTACTTATATAAGTAACTCTGACCAAATTTTAAAAAACTCATCTATGGAATTCATAATAAAATATTCAATTTTATTTCCAAACAACTCTTTCTAAGAACTCCTTTGGAGATGTCCTTATATGTTCTCACTAGATTTTTTAGATAGCAAAGCTCTTACCTACTAAATTACCATAATGTAGGTGATTCTAGCTCAGGAACTAAACTCATTGAGTTAATTAAGTCGAAGTCTATATTTTATGATGCAATCAAAGGAAAGGGCCTATCTCTATTACAGGCTACTGCAGTATTATCTATGGAAAATTCAGGACATATCTGTGTTACACTAGATCATAAAGATACAGTAAATGCAGGTTCTGTGGCTGACAATAATGAAGTTAAAGTTGATTATCCCGAGTCTTCTAAGGTGCATTCTACATGCCAAGAATTTCAACTACCAAAACAAGAATCTTCCCTTCAGACCACCAATTCTTTGAAACCAGGTTCGACACATTCCATTGAGAATGATTCAAGTTCAAAAAAGCGGAGAAAGAACAAGAAGAAGGCTAATAAGAAGTCACGGTTGGAATCTCCGTAAGTTTCTACATTTTATTTTATTTGGTGTTACAATTTCTCATGTTATTTTATTTGGTGCTTTTCTTGCTTCCTTAGCTATTTTTTTTCTTCAGTCTTTTCGGTCCACAATATTTGATGTTTGCATTGTCCAGATGGATGATAATGCTTTGTCTCAAGTCAATTCCCAATGAGGTGAAATTGCTATATATATTATGTAAAAGAGAAAGGATGTGTTATTTTTTTATATTGTTATGTAATATAGAATATATTATATAATTATTTATTATATTTATTTAATAGTTCCTAGATACTTGTCATTCTAAAGAAAAGTTTATCATCTAACAATCTGTTTGAGATCATACATCTTGTATTATATGGTGAGGGATGATATATAATACTGTTTTGGTGGCTGTATGACGTGACGTGACTTGATTTAAAACCTGATAGATATGTATGAATATATATTTGCTTACGTGGAGGCAGAACTAATTTTCTTTTTTTATCCTGCTTTGAGTACGTGTAATTAATTGAATGTTCTGTTGTAAAAATTTGTAGGTTACCGATTACTGCAGTTCCCATGAACCAAGTCCCCCCTCCATGTACTGCAGTTCCCTTGAACCAGGTCCCTCCTTGTACTGCAGTTCCCTTGGATCAGTCCCCTCTCTGTACTGCAGTTCCCTTGAATCAGTCCCCTCTCTGTACTGCAGTTCCCTTGAACCAGGTCCCTCCTTGTGCAGTTCCCATGAACCAGGTCCCTCCATGTACTGCAGTTCCCTTGAACCCGGTCCCTCCATGTACTGCAGTTCCCTTGAACCAGGTCCCTCCATGTACTGCAGTTCCCTTGAACCAGGTCTCTTCTTGTTAGGTGGCACAGTAAAAATGTAGAATGTGATGCAATTCTTGTATATGTTGCAAAATCTAAAGGCTAAAGTGCATGCAAAAAAAATCTTAGGTCCTTGTTAAAATTTATGTAGTGTTGTTAAAATCATGGTCTGGTGGCCTTTTTCGTTCACTAAGCCCATGTATGTTTCCGCAATAACTTCTTTTGAGATGACACATGTTACTCTCCAGTGGAGCTGTTGAACCATATTGTCCCACAGACCTGTCGTGACTAGAAGCTAATTTAAATGATTTTATCGTGTCTATGTTGTATTCTTTTATTTATTTTTTAATAATTTAGCATTAAAATTTCTTTATTTTTAGAAAATATTTGGAATACATAATATTATATTGATTTTGATGTTTATTTAATCAAATATTATTAATTTTAATTTTATATTTTTAATTCCATTATTTAGATTTAGGTGTTAAAATAGATGTTTTATGTTTACTCCACCGTTTCATATATTATTATGCTTGTTAAAATTATGAATAGGTAAAAGTTAAAAATAATTAGTCTCAATTAGGGATGCACAAGATGGTAAAAAAAAAAATTGATATCTGACTACTATGTATCAATGAATCGAAATTCTTACATATAAATGAAAATGAAGCGTTGATTTTTTTTTTTCTACTATTTTAAAATAAAATAAACCCATGTTGTATGATTTTATTTATCTTCAAATGTTTTATAAAAAGTGATATATAGAGAAGCAAGAAAAACATGAGTAGTTCCGTTGTCGTACCACAAGCAACAAACAAACATAACGAGACTTTTATACGGACAAGTATGTTCACATTTTTTACTCCCTTACATTGGAAGAGCAGCTAGATGTAGTAACAGTAAGAGAAACTTCTTCTATTTGTCACTCATCCATGGCTTCATCTTCTTCCCAGCCTCCACCTCCTCAACCATCTCCTTCTTCCCTTCCTGTTCAACCTTCGCCTGGTATGCCCGACATTTCTAAGCCTTAACTTCTTGAATATAATCATTACATATTTAATGTGCAGAATTTTTGTAAGATTGACTTTGAGAAAAAAGCTGTTAAATAAAATAATTTTTAGGAATTAAAATTAGTTTATTTGATTTTTTGTATATATTTTAAACGTCCAAAACTTCTAAATTTATGTTTTATTTTAGTTTTTAACATTATAGAATTATGACATTATATTTTTTAATATTATTTAATTATTATAGTTATTTTATTAATGTTGGATTGATTCCGTTTCAAGGATGGTTGAAACCTTGAGCCTTGTTCGGTTTTAAAAAGATAGATTCTTCTTATTATTTTTGTAAGTAATTATGAAGGAAATATTATTCATACTTACCCTAGTTTAAAGTGAAATGATTGATGCATGAAAATTGTATCTTAAATGTTTGAATTTGTTATTTATTTTGGAAATATTTGTTATTTATTTTGGAGAAAGTGAGTTTGCAAATAATGTTCGTAGAGCATTGATTGGTTACGAAATTATAAAGATTGTTTTTCTTAAACACAGAGATCTCTAACATTGTGGATTACTCTGTTATGAGGTTTCCCAGAACAACTGATGCACAAAAATCGTTTACAAGAGTTTGCTCAAAAGTGTAAGATTGCACTTCCCGTGTATCAAACTACCAATGAGGGGCAACATCATGCTCCAAGATTTAGGTCAAAGGTGTGGGTGGATGGAATGAGTTACACTTCCCAATCCACTTTTTCCCACAGAAAAACTGCTGAACAGGATGCTGCCAGACTTGCCTTGAAGTGCCTCTCTAAACGGACAAGAGATGAAGCACCAACTCTTGTTTGTGAGGTGTGTTGTAGCAAAATTATTGGTGTTGATTTCAGCAGGTCCTACTTCAGTTGATTGACTCACACACACACACACAGAGTTCAGTAATTTTGAGCCAATGCTTGCTCTAATAATATGTTCCAAAGTTTTAGACTCCTATATATTAAGCTTGTTTTATTTTATGTTTATTTTGCATCTTGTTGGCAAACAAACTAGTGCTTTGTCATTAAAAAATATTAGTTTTCCCCCAAGCTCTGTTTTTTCCTGCATTAGATGTTGTGTTTCTTGTTTCTTTAGAAGAAGGTATTGTCTGATGATCTCAAATGTGTTTTTTTTTTTTTTGCAACCTATTCTTCCTGGCTATTCTATGAGTTTGTCTAGAATGACCTTGTCTATGATTTTCTGTAAGAATTTGCAATGCAATTTTTCAACTGATTTTGTTATTGGATATGTCTCTCTTGTGATGCTAACTAATCTGACTTGAAAATGTCCAAGCAACCTATTGCAGAGGCTTAGTTATAGTATCAGATAATTTGGCATGTTTTCCTTATTTAAGTCATACAAGTTTGATCTAAAAGGAGTATCATTATAATGACAAATAAATATTGTTTCCCATGGAAATAGATTTTAGATGATTTCTTTTCCTACTTTGTAAATATGTGAAACTAATTATAGCTAGAACTTATTATAATGTTTCAGAAAATTGTTTTCATATTAAGTGCAGACTGCTGGTGAAACAATGCAGACTTATGATAAAAAAATAAATAAATTGTGGAATAAGCTTAAGGATGCTTTAATTAGGATTTTATTGCTTCATGTTGACTTAATCTTGTACTACCACTTCATATATCTTAGTTAAAAGCATGAACAATTTGTCTATCTTCCAGATTTCTGCATTTTGCAAGTCTATCTTGAATGAATATGCTACTAAACTGAATCTAGAAGGACCTACGTACAACACTGTTCAACAAGAAGGGTTTCTTCCTGTTTTTATATCTTCTTTAGTTTTCAATGGCACAAGTTACACTGGTGATGCAGCTAGAAACAAAAAGGATGCTGAACAGTTAGCTGCTCGTGCTGCTATTCTTTCAATTTTGGGTATCCTTTGTTATATTCAATAAATTTTCAATAGCAATGTGTTTTCCTACTAAACTAGTGTTTAATGCAGGTAATTCTGACCCAGAATCAATGCTCTTTGAAATGATCAAGTTAAAATCTAAACGTAATAATGCAAGAAAAAGAAAGGGCTTGCAAAATATTCATTTTAGTGCTGTGACACCCTCATCAAAGACAGGACATACCTGTGTTAGATTGGGTCATACGGAATTTGCAGGTTCTGTGGCTGATATTAATGATAAAACTGAGGTTGAATTGCTTGAGTCTTATAGGATGGTTTCCACATGTCAAGAATTTAAGATATCAAAGCAAGAACTATCCCCTGGGGTCACCAAGGTTTCAAAAGTGGACCTACGACGATGTTCAGCTCCTCCTCTTGATGGTGGTTCAAGTTTGAAAAGGCGGCGAAAGAATTAGAAGTGTTAGAATCACTGTAAGTTTTATTATATCACATTTCTGATATTGTGTACAGTGTCTCTTTTTGTTTCCTTTGCCATATTTTACTTCAGATTTTATATGGTGTGTCCCCATATGTCTACCTTTCTCTGTCCACGGTTTTTGAAATTCACATTGTCCATAAATGGTTCTTAATGTTTTGTCTTTAGCCAAATTCCCTTTTGCTGTGAGATCAACATGCAGTGAGTGGTGTTAAGTGAATGAGAGATATGTAGTTAATTTATTCCTACACATTTCTCACTCTTAAGAGAAGTTATTCATTTTGCAATCTGTTTGAGATCATCCGTGTTTCATTAGAATAATTGGAGTATTCGCATGCTGAATCTTGTGTCTGAATATAAGTAGGTTGTTTTTATGATATTATGAGGGATGATGTATAGTGCTTGTTTAGTAGCTAGCTACGTATGAAATGTGATTTGAGCAGCCATGTTGGTATTAGTTTATTTGGGAGGCAAAGCTTAACTTTTATTGTTGTCTGTGATTTGTGTCCTATGATTAATTGGATGTTTTAGTGTGAGAATTTGCAGGTTTATCAATTGCTGTGTGATGAAATTCTTCTATACGTTGTAAAGTCTCAAGACTAATGTTAGTTCGTGGATTTAAACTAACTTCCTTTTCAAAATTAAAAAAGTGTTGTTAAAATCCATGTTCATGATTATTAGTTTTTACTTATTAAGCTTATGCTTTCTAACGTTTTGTACTTCAGGCTTTTGTTGAAATTGTGCAGATTTTATTCAACAAGAACATGTCTTCAACTTTCTTTCATTTGTTTTTGGGTTCACCTATTACCAGTCCTACTTCTGTTTGAGTTTCTACTAGTATGATTATTTGCACATTGTTGGTAATTAGTTTTCAAATGCTTTGATGTTATGCTATTGCTCAATCAATATTGTTTAGTGAAAAAAAAAAAGAATTATGTGAATAGGACGAGAGGAGTTGAATAAACAAACTAATTCATAAATTTTCCTGATAACAGTCTTCAAAATTATTCATCTGAAAATATTTTGAAAAATTACCTGCATTTGTTCTATTTGATCACTAGAAAATTTTTTTTCTTATTTTTTTTAAATAATCAGTCCTAAATAATTTTTTAATCCTTTCCATCCTGTGAAATTTCATATATATTTTTTAATAATTTTGTTTTTCTATTTTAATCTTTCCTAATTTTTTCCCTGATTATTTACGTTTACGAAGACTTATCCATATTAATTGAAATGCTAGCCATTGAGTAGGATTCACGTGTTTATTTTATTTTAGTCTTAATATATTTTCATATTTTGTTTTTTATTATTAATAATTTTATTTTTCGGTTTTAGTGCCTCGTAAACTTTTTACTTTTATTTTAGTTTTGTCATTTATTGAATATAATACTTTTAAATTATAATATTTTTGTATAATTTAAATATTTTTATTTTTTAAATAATAAAAATTTCATTTTATCAAATTTTAATTCAATATATTAATTATAATAATAAGATGAGTGACAGAAGAAAAATAGAGAAAAAAGAAAAGAAAACTAAATAAAAGATAAAAAAAGAATAACAAAAAATAAATGAAAAAAAAGAAAAAATAAATAAATGAGTAAAATACTTGTATTACATTATAAAAATTTATTTTGTATTACTGATTTTGTGTATGAACAATAAACATGAATAAATAAATTTATAAATATTTTATAATTTTTTTAATATATTATTTAAAATTGATTCTAATTGTTAAGTGACATAATGAATATACATTTTTTATTTGAATTTCACCGTAAAAATATGTAAAAATGAAATTGAAAACGAAAGTAAAATGATACTATTACATTACATTGATTAATTGTTTCTTCAAATAAAATAATTTTAAAATATACATGTAACAGTTATATTCTGTCACTAAACTAAGTACGAGTGAAATAATTAGTAATATAAGTGGTGTCTTACATTAATTCATTTGAACTAGCCCCTTTTAAGTTACTTTATTAATCATTTAATAAGTTTTTCTTAATATTATTCTATTCAAAATCTCAATAAAACATCTAATTAAATTAAAAAAAATGATGACCTTGTTTCTATTATTTGTCGTTGGTGTTTTTTAAAATCAAGATGTAAAAGGTTAAAATTAATACGATGTGATTATTTTGAATAACAAAACTTACATGGTGTCATTGCCATTGAAATGGGGCAATGGAAAAGGCATAAAGGTAATTAATATTTTTATCTCCTAACATTTTTTTTTTAATTTTGTTTAGTCTCACATTTTAAAAATTAATAATTTTTATTCTTATATTTCTAAAATATTCAAACTTTAGTCTCTAAAACTAACAGTTTTAACGTTTGAGTATTAAAAAAAAAACAAAAATAAAATAATTATAACTGATAATTTAAAAGTAAGGAATTAAAACAAAACAGAGAAAATATTAAGACTAAAAATAATATTAACCTAATATAATAAAATTGTATAGTGAATAATATTGTCCAAACTAATCCATTATAAAATATACTGCATAAGACTTGTTTAAACAAACTTATTCGTAAGTGATTCTAAACAAGAACAGAAAAAAAATTGTGAATAAGATAAAAATAAAAAATTTATATAATTTTTTTTATAAATTAACTTGTATAAAAATTAGTTTAACTTATAAAAGATTTAAATTTCAATTAGATTTATTTATTTATTCTTAAAAGAAAATCATGTAAGCTTATCCAGACCCAACATTTATAATTTGGATTTGAAACAAAACAAAAACTTGTTTTCTCATAATGAAGGTGTACGCATCAATCTCAATATACACATTTTGCTTTTAAAAGAATAGAGAGTATAATGCATATTCTTGTATAGTGTGGTGTATATTATATAATGGTCATGTTTTAATATAAAATTAATTAATATATAGAGTAACTTTAGATATAGGTGATATAGGATTTCTAACCAAGCAGATACTTTTAATCTAATTCTTGATTCAAGAAGAAAAAAAACATATAAAAATTGAGTTTTTACTAAGTTAACGTTTTAATATAAAATTAATTAATAATATTAAAAAAGTCTAACAAATATTTAAAGGATATGAGAGAAGAGAGAAAGAAAACAAAAGAGATATACCTTTTATTGTATATATGAAAGAGTAATACACTCTTTTATACAGAGTCGTAACACGTGCATGAAATGAAAAAAGCGAACGTAATCTGTCATATCATAAACGAGTTATTATATTTGACTTATTTACAAACACCAATACACCTCCCTAAGCCAAATTCACTTTATGCTAGTTACACCAATTAATTTTCTCGAGTATTTTAAACCTATCACCTTTTAATGCCTTTGTTAGTATGTACTGCATCGCTGCAAATCAAGCTGCAACATTCAATTTTCAAGTTACCATTGCTGACTTGTTCCCTTATGTAATGAAATTTGGTCTCTATGTGTTTACTCCTTCCATGAGATGTTGGATGTTTTGTAAGATTAATTGTTGACTTGTTATCTACAAGTAGCTTCACTTTCTCTGTCATTTCAAATTTCAACTCCTTTATCAATGAACTTAGTCAAGCAGCTTGGCAAGTTGCTTCACAGGCTGAAACATATTCAGCCTCACATGATGAGAGTGCTACAACAGATTCCTTCTTCGAAACCCATGATATTGGTGCTTCTCCTAGAAAGAAAATATATCCTGCTGTGCTTTTCCTGTCACTTTTGTCACCACACCAATCAACATCAGCAAATGCAATAATCTTCATATTCTCACCTTGTTTCACCTTAGGCAGCAAAATTCCAAAACCATGCGTCCCTTGTACATAGCGTAAAACACGTTTTGCTGTATTTAGATGTGACACCCTTGGACTCTGCATAAATCTACTTATAAGCCCCACACTATAACACATATCAGGCCTGGTATTACAAAGATACCTTAGGCATCCTACAATCTTCCTGTATTCAGTTGGATCTACAACTTCTTCTTCTGGTTCCTTTTCCAATTTTAACCCCACCTCCGCTGGTGTGCTAGTAGCATTGCACATATGCATCTCTAGCTTCTTCAACATATCATTTGCATAGCGAGATTGATGCATTACCAATCCTTCTTCAGTTTCTGTAAATTCAATACCTAGGAAGTAACTCAACCTTCCTAAGTCACTCATCTCAAACTCACACAACATCTTGGCTTTAAACTCTTGTATCAACACATCACTGCTGCCTGTTACCAGTAAGTCGTCTACATAGAGACAAACTATGAGCTTTCCTATTTGATTAACCTCGCACATAGACACCATGTTCGGAGATACATTTATCAAACCCGATACTCGCTCATGAACGCATCTATTCGTTGGTTCCAAGCTCTCGGGGCTTGTTTGAGCCCATATAGAGCTTTGTTTAATTTATACACCATATGTCGCTGCTCCTTCTTTTCAAATCCTTGAGGTTGCATTACATACACTTCTTCTTCTAACTTGCCATTTAAAAACGCCGATTTTACATCCAACCGATGTAAACTCCAATGTAACCGAGTTGCAATTGACACCACCAGCCTAATGGTCTCAATCCCGGCAACAGGTGCATACACTTCCCCATAATCAACTCCGACCTTTTGTAGAAAGCCCTTTGCCACCAACCTGGCTTTGTATCTGATTACAACACCTTGTGGGTTAACTTTAGTCTTGTACACCCACTTTAAGGCTATTGGTTTCTTCCCTCCAGGTAACTCAATTAATTTCCATGTTTGATTCTTCTCGATTGACTCAATTTCTTCCACCATTGCCTTTCTCCACCTCTCATCTGGTTATTGCTTGATCAAACTCAACAGGTTCAGATTCTGCTATGAGTGCATAATGAACGAGGTTACCTTCAGCCGTGACAGTGGCATCATAAAACAGCTCATAATCTCTCATGTGTGCTGGCATTTGAACATTTCGTGAAGATCTTCTCAGTCTCTCACCACGTTGCTTACTGTCTGAATCAGATTCATGAGAAGCTAGCTCATCCTCAAGCACAATTGTAGATTCTCCTTGTTGAACTGTCTTCCAGTTCCATGTACTCCCTTCATCCACTACCACATCCCTGCTAACAGTTACTTGACTTATTTCAGGATTGAACAACTTATAACCACCGGTGTCATGGTAACCAACTAGAATGAATGGTATGCTTTTATCATCTAACTTCTTTCTCAGCTCATCTGGAACATGTTTGTAACAGATTGCACCAAAAACTCTCAAGTGTTTAACACTTGGTTTTACCCCAGTCCATGCTTCTTCTAGTGTGATCTCCTTCAATCTTTTGGTAGGTGTTCTGTTTAGAATATACGTGGTTGTCATCACAGCCTCACCCCATAATGACTTTGGCAAGCTTTTTCTCTTCAACATGCACCTTACCATATTCAGTATGGTCCGATTCTTTCTCTCAGCTGTTCCATTATGCTGTGGTGTATATGGAGGAGTCTTCTCGTGTATGATGCCTTCATCTTCACAAAATTTGTAAAACTCATGTGAAGCGTACTCTTCTCCTCCATCGGTTCTTAAAAGCTTCAACTTGCAATCACTCTGCCTTTCAACCATGTGCTTAAATTTTTTAAACACCTCCAGCACTTCACTCTTCCTTTTTAGCAGATATGACCAAGTTTTCCGGGTCCAATCATCAATAAACACCACAAAGTACTTGTTGCCTCCTGGAGTTTCTACTTGGATTGGACCACATACATCGAGTGAACCATCTCCAACTTCTCTTTTGACTTCAAAGGTAGCAACTTTTGGAAACTCCCACGCGTTTGCTTGCATTCCACACACTCCTTACATACCGAGTTTGGTATTGTAACCAAAGGCAGCCTCGTAACCATTCTCGCAATGGCCGAGTTTGGACAAGTCACGAAAATTAAGATGTCCAAACCGCAAGTGCCATAACCATTCTGAGGCATTTTCTGTTGCAGTGAAACATTGATGCTTTACAGCATTCATTACCACACGGAATGTCCTATTTTGGTACAGATTAGCTTTTATCACAAGCTTCCTATTTTGATCAAATATGCTCGAGACACCTATCCTCCATTGTCATCACAAAGCCCTTCGTAGAAGTTGACCAAGACTTAACAAGTTAGTCTTTAATCCTGGCACGTATAATACCTCCTCAATCACAACCTCTCTTCCATCATCACCCCGTAACACAACCCTGCCAGACCCCTCTGCATTAAGGCTCCTGTCATCAGCAAATTTTATCCTCCCATGAGTTACTTCCTTTATTTTGACAAACCATTCTCTGTTGCCTGTCATGTGGGTTGAGCAACCTGAATCTAAGTTCCACGATGTTTCTTCAGGTTTATCAACATCAATTCTGGTCATCAACATTACTGCTTCAGAATCTGACGTTCATCTTGTGCTAGGTTAGCATGATTCTTCTGTTTACTCTTTGCTCCATCACCTTTCCAATACTCTTTAGCAAAATGACCAAACTTCTGGCAGTTATAGCATCTAACCTTCTTCTTGTCAAACTTCCACTCCTTTTCTCCATCAAGATTGGTGCAAGACTTGTGGTTCTTGTGGTTGACGACATCAACTTCATTGCCTTCTTTTCGCTCTTGCGCATCTTTCCGTTTTGAACTACCTTTACCGAGTGTGCTTCAGCCCCTTTCTTTTTCCTTTATATCGAGAACGTGCTCGCAAGACTTGTTCTTGACGGTGTCTTCTCTCATTCATTCCGTACTCATGAGCTTTCGAGGAGTGTTGTAATTCTTCCAACTCCATTGCTTCAAGATCGCGTGTTTCTTCGATTGCTACCACCACATGATCGAAACGTTGTGGCGTTGTTCTTAATATCTTGTCTACTACATACTGATCTGAGACACTGGCTTTGCATGAACGCATTGCATTGACATGCTCTTGCACCTTATCAAAATACTCAGCCACAGTTTCACTCTCATCCATGGTCAAGAGCTCAAATTGTCTCCGCAAGGTTTGTAATCTCACCTTTTTATTTTTGTCTCCGTCACCATAGGTCTTCATCAGAATCTCCCAGATATCCTTAGCAGTGGCTGCTTTTGAGACTTTGTTAAAGATCTTTGAAGTAACGCATTGATAAATCAAGAAACGTGCTTTACTATCCAATTTCTGCTGAGCTTTCAACATTCTCTTTTCTTCATCAGTGGCCTTTTCTCCTAGTTCCATCACTCTTTCACTCACGATATCCGCAACATCTTGAAAACCAAAAATGGCTTGCATTTTGATACGCCAATCATCGAATAACTTGCCATCAAACATCGGCAGAGGTCCTTGTACCATTCCTCCCATACCAGCCATTCGCTTTTTGAATCTCGATCAAAACTTCAATGGGCTTTCACGCGTCTGCACCTCCTCAAAAATCTTGACCAAGTACCAACCAAGAATTCTCACTGCATGTCACTGCATGTTACTCTGTATGTCACTCACTCTCTCACACAACCCTTCGTAACTTCCTACCACACACTATATACCACTAGTGTATTGTTTTCCCGTGATCGAGCCTTGCTCTTGATACCATAAAGGATATGAGAGAAGAGAGAAAGAAAACAAAATAGATATACCTTTTATTGTATATATGAAAGAGTAATACACTCTTTTATACAGGGTCGAACACGTGCATGAAATGAAAAAACAGAATGTAACTGTCATATCATAAACAGTTATTATATTTGACTTATTTACAAACACCAATAATATTTAACGATATAAAAGAAATAATAAGAGACTTTCAATAATAATTTCCTGATTATTCAGTAAATAGTAAATAGTAAAAACTAATAAGTTCATACTCAATTAATAAAAATCTCAAATTCAAATATTAAATATATAATAATATTAAAATATAACTTTGTTTTGTTGTATATTTTAGGCCAATAGAATAGTGAAGAATAATGTGTTGTTGTATATAATAATATAATAAATAAATAAATAACATAAAGTTAATGAAAACTCTAATCAGCAAATTAAGCAGATTTGGAAGATATGGAAAATTCTGATGTTGTCTGTGATGAAGAGTTTCCAAGTTCATGCTAGAAGAACACAATTAGACACTGTCCATGAAACAAGGAAAAAGAATCTGTGTAGAACCAGTTAACATGTGAATGATCTTCTTTGTGTCTACAAAAGATATACTTAACTGTATTTCATGGCAGCAAGAAACAGTCCTGCACCGTGTGAGAAAGATAACCCTAAAATATGGACATTAAGCTGAGTTGACCACAGGAATTCCTTTTGGTTTAAAAAAATCACTATATATGAAATGGAATCTGTTCGAGAGAATGTTGACTTTTTTCTTTGGCAACAACTAATTAATGGTGAATGCATTGATCCTTCACATTGATGAATGGTGTTTAAGAGATTAAGTATTGTTTTGTAGAAGTAATTAAAAGATTAGGACATTAATTAATATATCCTTTTATGCCATTTACTTTAATGTTTATAGAATATAAGTAAAGATTGGGATCCATATAAACAATATATGTTAATCTGTCGTTTTATTTCACTTATTTTAAAGAAGTTATATTAGAGAATTAATATTTATCTGATATAAAAGATTTATCCTCTTTTCCCTCCTTTGGATCTGATCTCACAATGATCCTTGCTTTTCGTAAATCTTGTTTTGGTTTGTTTAAGAGTGATTGAGGAAACATATGGATAATATATCATATCTTATAAATAATAATAATAATAATAGAAGATAAAATTTCAAAATTGATATAAAAAATAAATAAAATTCAAATCAAATTAATTTCTATTTATAGTTCAATATAAACTATTTTTCTTTTCTCTATTTCAAAATTTATAAATGCTAGGTGAGAGGAAAAAAAATTGAGGTTCACATTAATTAATATATAATATGATCAAAATAATATATATATATATATATATATATATAGATATATAGATATATAGATATATAATCTAATGGATGATATATATGTTATAAAGTTATTATAGGGTCATTTGGAGATATTCAGTACAAAATTTATACTTTGAGTTATATTAACAATTTTACATTAGCAAGAGACATAGCCAAAAACAAGTTTAAAACTCAATTCTAAAATAGTTTGAGTTTATTTTCGTACTCATTATTAGTTTATTATATAGCGTGTAGTTGGTCCAATCAATTTCATGTTCTATTCTCGACACCAGGATATTGGGAATCTTACCTTAATGACATGGTAACAGTAAATACCCTTTTGCAGCCATCTTTCTCTTGTACCTTTTCTTCTTCAATCTGAAAATGGAAACACATAGTTTGTCAGGTTTCAGGTTTCATGTACATGTCACTTTGTTGTCGGATCTTGACCATTGATTCTGAGGACTCAAATAATATATTATTAATAAATAAATATAAAAAAAAAGAAAAAAAGATAAAAAGGTGAAAAGATAAAATTATAGATATATACTTAGATATATTAAATAATCATTAAGTTTTAAGGAGAACAAAATCATAAATTAAAATTACAAACTGAGTAGGAATTGAGAGGATAAAATTGTAAATATATAAGTAAATATATTAAATGTTGATTGTGTTATAATAAGAGTAAAAGAAATGAAAAAAGTGTTGGTTGGTGGTTTTGTCTAGCGTGATCTAATCTCATACAAATCATTATTTTCAAAGATGCTGAGGCAAACGTAATGTGCATGATGTATCTTACAAAATTAGATCAGACATGTTCATGATTAGCTATCAATTTTTTTTTCTTCTTTTTTTAATGATCTTCAAATCCTATAATCCTACAATGTGTGTTAAAATATAATGTCGTAATTTCTATTTTATATATGGGTTTAAGTATCTTAAAACTTATATATATATATATTAAAGTTTTTTTTTTTTTTTTTGCATTTGAATGTAGAGCGCAGTACAAGTTTTTTCAGAAGGAAAAAAGCATAAATTTTGACCTGTGAAAAATAAGATTAAATCTGGTTTTAAGAAAATATGACAGATTAGTTTGTACATGAAGACTTGAATTTGTCTTTTATCAAGTTTTTCTCTAAAATGTTCTAGTTGCATGCACTCAAACCATTTAAACGTAAGTGAACGGGTGAGAATATACATACTAAATGGTAGTAAGTAGTAAGGAAATAAGTACAATTATTTATACTTTGTGTATGTGAATTAAAAATGTTCCACGTTACTTTTCCCTGCACATTTGTCAATCGTACAACAACAAAAAATGAGAAAATAAATGGAATTATATGCAGAACCCATCATGCATGCCAATCTGTGCTATCTTAGCCAGTTCAATAACTAGTGCAGACAGCTGCACAGAATGTTAAGAACTATATAATATATACGCTTCATAAAATAGAGTAAGAGTCCACGTGCTTAAGTTTTAAAAAGGAAGCATGTGAGAAGCTAGTAGCTCCAGCTTCTTCTTCAAAGTGGGAATCAAAGAGAGACGTGGGTTTGGCGAAGGATCCGGCGACCCTTATGATACTTTGCATTCTTTTTTGCCAGCTAACAATCCCAATATGAAGATGAATTAAACTACAGTTTTTAAATTCATAACACATTTCAATACTTTAGTATTATCTTTTGATTTCTTGCTCCCCCATAATAGTTAACATTTCAGTTAGTAGTACTATTACTCCAATCTCCATCCGTAAAAAATGGTATAGTTGGTTTCTGAAGGCTATATAAAGAGGTCTTCTTCACTGGTTGCGACATGTTCTTGTTGACCTTAACAAACCTTAGGTTCTTTTACGTTTGGATTTCTCTCACTTCCTTAATGGCACACTCTTTGGCATCTCATGGGGTCAATGAGTACCAACAATGTGGGGTTGAGGAGGAAGATGGTTCACAAAGTACTAATGGGCGTAGCAATGATTCAGCTTCAGCCATAACTCATTCTCCTCCTCTATGTGGCATTGGCAATGAGTATGTTCACAAGAGGACACGTAACCAACTTGAAGAAGCAGAATCTCTGATTAATTTCAAAGCCAATGAGTTCAGTAACCTCATGCAAGGTAGTGAGTCTTTTCTTAGCTTTCAGCAGAGTTGGCTGTTTTCTAAAGAGAGTAATTTGCACGAGGGTTATAACCAATGGAACCATGTTAGTCCCAAAAACACCACAGACATGCGCCTAGTCCAAGATTTCAGTTGCTCTGAAACTGCTACTTGTTATAGCTCCATATTCAATGGTGCAAAAGAGAAACAACATGGTGAAAGTTCATCTTCTGGGTGGCTATACTCAGAACCAAATGTCCCTAGTGATAGCCTGAATGAGTCAGCAGCAAAAGAGTTGATCTTGAGAAAGCATTCTTTTATGGTATTTTATATTCCTTCCTTAATCATAGCTTTAACTTTTTTCTTCTTCTTTTTTTTATGTATATTTACCATTAGCCAACAGAGAATTCTATTTGACATTAATTAAGTGGAAGATTGAGGTGAGATTGTTGTTTATAGGGAGAGAACATGCAAGCTGCTAGTGCCAAGAAGCAATGCACAACTGCAAGTAAAGCAACAAAACCAAAGTCAAACCCATCCAAGGATCCTCAAAGTGTTGCTGCCAAGGTTAGCTTAATTGCTTCAAACCTAAGTAAATTATGTCGCATATATACTAAGTTTTGATTGCAAAATAAGTAACCTTAAAATATGAGATTCAATGCTGATAGAATGTTTGTACGAGTGTATGACAGAATAGAAGAGAGAGAATAAGTGAGCGGCTTAAGATACTCCAAGAACTGGTCCCTAACGGCTCCAAGGTAGATTTTTGAACTACTGTTGAAATGCTGCATTCTTTTGCACTTCCATTGCAACAGTAACTTGGATTATGATTTAATTCCATTGATAAATTTTGCAGGTTGATTTGGTCACCATGCTGGAGAAAGCAATTAGTTATGTGAAGTTTCTTCAGTTGCAAGTGAAGGTGGGACTTGCACTCAATGCACTAATTTCCTTCTACTTTTTATATGCATATGTTTGGTCATTCATCTGCAAACTAAGCTCATGGCTTTGAATAGGAATCTAACCTGTCTTCTGGCACATCTTCGTGAAGGTGTTGGCAGCTGATGAATTTTGGCCTGTCCAAGGTGGAAAAGCCCCAGACATTTCTCAAGTAAGACAAGCCATTGATGCCATTCTTTCATCTCAAAGATGAACTAAAGGTTATGAATCCAAGGAATAAGTTTCAAGATAATTCATAATTACAATGCATCTTTAATTCAGAACAAGGAATTAGTTCTGGAAGTTGGTCTTTCTGAAGGACCTTTTAGTATTTCAGAATACATGACCTTTTCTAAGTTGTAAACTTATAAATTAAATCAAGATCTATCAGAAAAATAGAGCATGTTAGTGTATATGCTGGGGCTGCAAACCATGTCCTAGGATTTCAATCACAAAATATCCACGTGTGCTGTATTTCTCTGTATGCAAGTGGTGAAGGAAGTGTTTCTAATAAATATCTTGCTATTACATATTTGGGGTTATAGGCAGTTTAGATAAAACAATATAAAATATAAATAATCTAAAGATGTTCTTTCACTTTTTCTCTCAATTATCACCGTGACTGTTACCAATTGATAACTTGGTTGTGGTTGATGAAACATGTTGAGGTTAGGGTTTTTATCATCTTATCTAATTTCTTATCTAATTGATATATAAGTTGGCAATATATACATATTACTTCAGGAATCCAGTTGGTAAGAATAAATAGATTATCATTGTTAGGAATGACTATTATTGAAAATAAGATTTCTCTATTATTATTAATTAATTAATATTTATTCATTCATCTTAATTTTAATATGTAAGAATAAAGGTTGAACAAAAATAATTACTTTTTAATAAAAATTTATATGATGAAATATAAAAAGAATATGAAATTTGAATCCATGAGTTTTAGTTGTCTCTCCATTATCAAATCTTGTTTGAGTGAAATTTTGAATAACATCAACAATATGTCTAATCTCATCTCTATCACCAAACAAAATAACTTGATATATATATATATATATATATATATATATATATATATATATATATATATATATATATATATATATATATATATATTCTCTTTTTTTCCTTTTTAAAACAAAAAATATTCTTTTGTTAATTATAAAATTTATTTTTTTCACTTAATTTTTAACTAATTTATGTATATGATAATTATAGAAAATAAAATGGATAAAATAGAAAATCACATATCATTTTAGTAAGATTTAAAAAAAGTTATCGTGTTTATTGGTTTATACAAGGTAAAAATATTATTAAAAAAATAGAAAAAAAATTATATATATATATATATATATTAATATATCTTTTATGACGTCTATTTTTTTCACGATGTTAATTTATCATAGATATTATTATTTTTATACATTTATATGAGATATGAAATGAGATAAATATTTATATATTTATATGTAAAAAAAATGTGAGTTTTACAAGTTTATATTATTTTTAAATAAAAAAATTATTAAAATTGATAAAAAAATTATTCTAACAGTGGTTTATTTTATCAATGATACGTGTCTTCTGTCTTGATGTCTTAATCTATTTATGTTGATATTTTAGTTGTAACGTACACAAGAAATAACAATAAGAAAGTAAGAATAATTGTAATTTAAAATAATAAAATCTTATAATGACATATAAAATATACTTTTCAACTTTCTCAACATATTTTATTTATTCTATATTATGAAAACTTGAATTAAATTTGTAGTGACTAGTAATGATAAATAAACTTAATTTTAATTATTCTCTCAGTGATATCTATTCATTTCAATCTCCAAGGTTCAACTTTAATTTACCATACCATCAAATCTTTATAAATAGATATTATTATTTAAAAATAATTAAATAATATAAATTAATAATAGGAACTAATGCATAACCAGGAGATAAAATAAATAACATGAGTGTGTAAGTAGAAATATATTATGACCAATACATAACTCAAGACAAATAAATAAATAAATATAAAATATGATCAATACATAACTGAAGATAAATAAAATAAACAATCAGGACTAGTATAGATAAATAAGGATCAGTGTAGGATTGAAGATAAATAAATAAACATAAAACATGAATAATGTGTGGTTGGAAGTAAATAAAATATAAAATAATAAATAGAACGAGGTTAGAGACACTTCACTCGACAATAATAAGTAAAAATAAAGAAAAATAACGATAAATATTTTTTTCCTCCCTTAATAATTGAAAATGTTGCATCAAAAAATTTCTTTTAAAATTATTTTTCTTACTTCCTTTTTTCTCTTCCTCTCCCTTTCTCTCTCCTTCCTTCTTTCCCTCTCTCTCCTCTCTTTCCTTTCTTCTCCATCTCTCCCTTTCCTCCTAACCCCTATTTATAATCATAATTAATTTAATATTTTTACTTTTATTTAATGCAAAAGATAAGATTATATTTTATTGTTTTTATTTTAATCATTAATAAGGATAAGATAAATAAGGATCAGTGTAGGATTGAAGATAAATAAATAAATATAAAACATGAATAATGTGTGGTTGGAAGTAAATAAAATATAAAATAATAAATAGAACGAGGTTAGAGACACTTCACTCGACAATAATAAGTAAAAATAAAGAAAAATAACGATAAATATTTTTTCCTCCCTTAATAATTGAAAATGTTGCATCAAAAAATTTCTTTTAAAATTATTTTTTTTACTTCCTTTTTTCTCTTCCTCTCCCTTTCTCTCTCCTTCCTTCTTCCTTTCTTCTTTCCCTCTCTCTTTCCTTTCTTCTGCATCTCTGCCTTTCCTCCTAACCCCTATTTATAATTATAATTAATTTAATATTTTTACTTGTATTTAATGCAAAAGATAAGATTATATTTTATTATTATTTTAATCATTATCTTTTAAAGAGATAAGATCACATTTATTTATTTTTATTTTATTTAATTATATATATTTTTTAATCATTATCTCTTAAAGAAATAAGGTCATGTGTTTTTTTTCCTTTCAATAATCAATATTTTTTATAATAATTAATTAACTAATTTTATTTTAATAATTAATACATATTTTTTTAAATTTCAACTATGATTATTATTTTAATAATTTTTTTATAATAGTTTAACGATAGTATATATATATATATATATTATTTTTATTTATTTATTTATTTATATAAATGAGTCTTTTTAAAATTATTTAAATTACTTAAAATAGTATTTAATACATTGTATTTGCAAATTTTTTTTACATAAATTAATTTTTAGATGTTACATTTTCTTCATACTTAGACAAATTTTGTCCTCAAAATTTTTAGTGACTAAAATAGATGAGGGTAATTTTCTTTGATTCTCTTTTCTAATTCTCACGTGGCATATCCAGTAATTTAATACCAAACAACCTTCACTAATGAAATTTATCTTCCCCTTAGTTGCTTGATCTTCATATGTGTAATTTGTACAGATATTGTTTCAAATGTAAAGTTATCATTTAATTATACTATATCCGACATTATTACATGAGAAAGATCAGAAATATATTTTCTTAATTGAGACACATGAAACATATTATGAAGGTTAGAAATGAAAGGGGGTAAAGAAATTTGGTAAGTAACAAGACTTATTTTTCTAATAATTTGATAAGGACCAATAAATCGATGAGTGAATTTCTTCAATTTCATTACTCTACCAACTTCAGTTGTCGGTGTTACTTTCAATAATACATACCTTCTCAAAATTCAAGAGATCGTCTTTTTTTGTTAGATAACTTTTTTGTTGACTTTGAGTTGCTCTTAATTTTTCTCGAACTATCTTAAACCAACATAAAAGTGTTTTACATTTTCTCTCATACGATGCCTTATAGGGTGTCATACCTATGCTAGAATGAAAACTATTGTTGTAAGTGAATTCAATTAATGATAAATATCGATCTCATCTACCAGAATCCTCTAACACACACGCTCTCAACAAATCTTCTAAAGATTGGATTGTTCGTTCTGATTGTCCATCTTAAATCACATTTATGTATTTTTATTTTATTTAATTATATATTTTTTTAATCATTATCTCTTAAAGAGATAAGATCATGTATTTTTTTTTATAATCAATTTTTTATATTAATTAATTAACTAATTTTATTTTAATAATTAATATTTTTTTAAAATTTAAACTATAATTATTATTTTAATAAATATTATTTTATAATAGTTTAACAATAATATATATATATATATTATTTTATTTATTTATTTATTTACATAAATAATTTTTTAAAATTATTTAAATTACCTAAAATATAATTTAATACATTATATTTACAAAAATTACACAAATTAATTTTCACATGTTACATTTGGACTTTAGAAAAAAAAATTGTTAATTAGACTTAGTATAACCGCATTTCAACTCCAAAAGCTCTATTTATGTTTTAATTCTGAGAATCATCTCCAATAAGAGTAATTTATAAAATATATTGTACGAAATAAAAAATATTAAGTAGTATTCTAAGTACTCTTCTAGGTGAGAAATTATTTATTTTTTCTTATATGTACAGTAATTATTTTGACTTATTATTTACCACATATTTATACTGTAGTACATATTAGTCCTTCTAGTATCTATTACATATTCCTTATTAAGCACATGATTATGTGTTGCTATTAATTAATTTAATAACAATTAATAAAGATAAAAATGAAGTATTACTAAAAAATTAAAAATGTGTTGCTATTAATTAATTTAATAATAATTAATAAAGATAAAAATGAAGTATTAATAAAAAAAATAAAATCAATATGGATAAATTAATTATTTTCTTAATTTTATAATTTTATCTAAAGTTCTCCTTATGATAGAAACTGGAAGAAAATTATAGTACTTATTATTACACAATATTTATTATATATTATATATTATATATAGTAATATTCCATTCTTACCTATAAAAAAAGTCATATAATTAAGTAGATAAAATTAAATATACAAATTTTTACTAATTTCCTGTTATTATTTCTTAAAAATTATCTTCATGTTTGAAAAAAATTATAGGTAATAATGGTGCAATCGAAGGTATATGTTAATTTTTGAATAAATATATTTCTCATTATATAAATTCGATATTTTGATTTATAAGTTTTGAGTATAACAGATTCTATTTGGTAAATGGGAAAATTTAA